CAGCACAGCATACAAGCCAAGAGAAAAAGAACCACCAAAACCTTGCCAGAAAATAAGTACGTAGATTAAATCAGGCAGATGGATGATTTTTTAAGAGGACATCCAGATTCATGAGCATGTGTGTTTTCCTTTACAAGAGTATAAAACAATGAATCAGCATATATTGAATTACTGAAACCAGTGCTTTATATGTGATTTCTGCATGCTGTATACTAGAAGCAATCCAGTAGAACCTCAGGTCATGTACCGTCCTCCTTACAAACACTTTGGGTAATGAGCTCCGCTAACCTGGAAGTAGGTGCTCCTGGTAGTGAACTTCGCTCTGGGATGCGAGTGGAAATCGCGCGGCGGCAGCGGGAGGCCCCATTAGCAAAAGCATGCCTCAGGTTAAGAACAGTTTTGGATTAAGAACGGACCTCCGGAACGAATTAAGTTCGTAAACCAAGGTACCACTGTATGTGCATTAGGGTCTTGAGTAATTCTTTCCTAATCCCATATTTTGCACTGACTAGTGTTCTACTTTTAACGCTTTCATGCGTTTCTGCTTGATCAGGCAAATATATTACAAACATTAAATGATTTTCTAAACAATTGCTACAGTCTTCTTATACCATATTATACCATCTTTGCAGCGTCAGCTCTGCCGTTAGGCAGGCTGAGGCAGCTCCTTCAGGTGGCAGAAGCCCTGAAGGTGGCAGCCCCTGTGGGAGCCCTGCCACCTCCTCCGCTAGCCAAAATTGTTTGAGATCTTATAGAGCGCACAAGATCTCACACAAAATATGCAAGAATTTGGTACCTATGCCAATGCCGCTTCTCCATCTACAATCAGTATTTAGCTAATAAAATACTACTACTACTATTTTCTAAAACATTATTATGTTTCCTTTAAACTGAATCAACTAATGAGAAACTTCTCAGCCCTGTGCACTCCAAAATGCACGGTCTTCAGAAGATCACTTTCTTCCAGGGCTTGTGAAGGGCCTTCAGCTTAGTGGTAGAGCACAAGCTGTCCATGCAGGAAGGGCTGAGATGCTGGAGGTTTTGTATCCATCAGACCACATAATGCTAGACTAGATGAACCACTGGTCTCACTTGGTATAAGCTTATAAGGCTCATATAGGACTACAAGAGGAAATGTAGAGATGCTCTTCTCAGTAGTTGTGGCCTGATGAGGGAGCCTTGTTCCTTGTTTACTATCCTTAAGCTGGCAGTTGAATAAATCCCTTTGAACACAATGCAATTTACTTTTGAGTAGAAAACCTATGATTGCACTAAGTGTTTTCCTCACCTTGTGTTTTGTTTTAATTATGTTTATATTTTTGTGAGCTGCCTTTAATATTTAGGTGTACCCAAAAGGCAGCCTAAACATATTTTGAAAGGAAGAAGATCCCGGATTGTTCCTGGATGTGCTGCCGGCAACCGCAGTCCCTGCGGTGACAGAGTGGCTTCAGGAGCTCCAGTCTCAACAACAACTATTGATGGAGCAACTGTGCCAGGCCAAGGAGGCATACAAGGCCCAGGCCGACCGCCACCGCCAGGTGGGGCCGGAACTCCACGTCGGTGACCTGGTATGGCTCTCCACTCGCCACCTCCACCCCTCTCGGCCTTCGCAGAAGCTGGACGCTCGCTTCACCGGCCCGTTTCCTATCGTGGACCAGGTCTCGCCGGTGGCATTCCGTCTCCGGTTACCCTCAACCTTGAAGGTTCACCCAGTATTCCACAGGTCCCTACTGAGTTCGGTGCCCCCCCCCGACGAGTTCCACCTGAACCGTCCCCGACTGCAACCAGTTTTGGTTCAGGGGGAGCCCGAGTATGACGTGGAGCGCATTCTGGACTCACAATACCGCAGGGGAAAGCTCCAATATCTCATAGATAGGAAGGGGTATGGGCCTGAGGACTGCTCCTGGGAACCAGCGGCCAACGTCCACATGCCTGCCTGCCTGCCTGCCTCCGTGATTTCCATGCAGCGTACCCCAGCAAGCCGGGTCCGGACCCTCGGTTTGGGGGGGGGGCTGTGAGGGGGGATGGTGTGATGGCCTGGGAATCTGATTCAGAGGCTGAACCGGAGGAATCCCAGCCTGCACAGGAGTCCCCACCTCCAGGGCTGGCTGAGCCAGGGCAGGGGCTTGAATCTGAAGGGCCCTCACCTGTGCTGGATCCTCAGGAGCAGACACCAGCTGAATCCGCTCTGGCTCCAGAGGTGATCGAGGACCCATTGCCTGCAGGTGCGCCTCTCCCAGCCCTGTCAGGGGAAGGTGCAGCTGCTCCTGGGTCCAGTAACCCTCCAGCCTCTCCTGAGCTGCAGAGGCTCAGGGCAGAGAGGCGGAGGGAACTAAGTGCTCTCAGGAGGAGTGCTCGCCTTAAGGCCAGGGGAGGCGAGTCACCTGTGGGCTGGGACCGCCCCAGGCCTCAGAGGAGATAAAGGCCAGTCAGCCCAGTCCCAGGAGCAACATCGTTGGAAACCTGTTCCTGCCAGCACCCTGACCTGCTCTTCTGGAGTTCCTGACCATGCCCGGCTCCTTGCCTTGGACCCTGTTTTGCCCTTGTCAGACAGCCTCCAGACCCTCGACCCAGGACTAGACTCAGACCACGCCGCACGTTAACCCCCCCTGGGACCAGCACACAGACCATCTGATGCGTCTGACACTGAACTGGAAGAACCACTGTTCACCATTCGCCACTTTTCTCCTAAGAAGGAGGAAATGAGTGCAGAAGACTTGCTTCTAGTACGCAGATCTGAAAGGGCCACAAAAGGCAAACCTCCAAAGAGATTTGCTGATGAGTTTGCTAAGACAGCAACTGCTGTTCTTAGTAGCTCAGAGAAGGTGTGGGAACCTTCAAGCTTCAAAGAGGTTCAGGAGTTAACCTCTAAAGATCCTGAACCATGGCTTGATGCCATGAAGGCTGAAGTCGATTCCTTGGATAGGAACCAAACCTGGGAGCTAGTGCCAGTAGTACCAGGAATGAGACTGGTTGGCAGCAAATGGGTCTTCAAGGCCAAGACAGACCAGACTGGCAAGGTTGTCAGGCACAAAGCCAGATTAGTTGCCAGAGGTTTTTCACAGATACCAGGACAGGATTACCACGAGACCTACTCACCCACCGTCAAGTATGAGAGCATTAGGCTAATGCTCAAGATTGCTGCAGAGGAGAAACTGCACGTTTCTCATCATGATGTGAACACAGCTTTTTTGTACAGGGTTTTGGGGAACTGTATATGCTTCCACCTGATGGAGTGCAGATACAGAAGGGAATGGTCTGTAAACTACGGAAATCCCTATATGGTCTCAAGCAGAGGGCCAGGTGTTGGAACACAAAACTCACTGAGATGTTGCTTTCTCTAGGTTTTCACCAAGGCAAAGCTGATCCGTGTGTGTATGTCAAGGAGGAGGGGCAAAACAAACTGTATTGTTTATGTTTTGTTGATGATCTTCTGTTTTGGAAGAATCAGGCTTTGTACCAAAGCACCCTAGCTCAGCTGAAGGAGCACTTTGACATGAAGGATCTTGGTAAGGTATCCAACTATCTTCCTCTGCAGGTGGAGAAGGACCAAGCAGGTAATTTTCTGGTACACCAAACACAGAAAATTGCTGATGTATTAACCAGGCTGAATTTGGTTGATGCAAACCCAGCAGACACACCGATGGTGACAGGTTACCAGGTAGATAGTACTGCTGAAGCATTTTCTGACGCCACACTGTACAGATGCATTCTAGGCAAGCTGAATTTCATTGCTAGATGTTCAAGACCTGACACAGCTGTAAGCACTAACCTGTTTAGCAGACATGCCAACAATCCTACTGTTCAAGATTGGAAAGCTCTGAAGCGCATAGCCCGCTATTTGAAGGGGACTTTGCATTACAGGCTGAGGTTCACCAGTCAAAAGATGGGAGATCTTGAAATCTTTGCAGATGCTAGTTTTGGAAGTGACACCATGGATGGTACAAGCAGTTCTGGAGTATGCTACATGTACAACCATTGTCTCTTTGACTGGCTGTGCAAAAAGCAGATGACAGTAAGCCTAAGTTCCTGTGAAGCAGAACTCAATGCCCTGTCATTTTCACTCATGGATTGTGAATGGTTGATGCAACTGTTTCAGGACATCAGAGTTTCTGTAAAATGTCCTATACAGGTGTATCAAGACAATAGATCCTGTTTGGCTTTGCTGAACTCAGAGAGTTGCAAGCAAAGAACCAAATACTTGCAGATTAAGTTACATCATGCACTCTCTTGTGTATTCAGAAAGGAATCATTAAGGTGTCCTACATGCCAGGAAATGAAATTCCTGCTAATCTGTTGTCTAAGGTTGTTAACAGAGAACAACTTAAGGTTTATGTACAGAGGTTGCAATTGAGTTGAACCACAGGTACTACAGGTTACACGGAAAGGGGGAGGATGTTAGGATATAGTTCCATTCCACCTTAAAAAGGGAACAGGCTGTTGTGTGTCACATACTTGTTTACTTCCAGCTTCTCGCTGGGAACTTCCGTTTTGTATATAGCTTTTGTTCTGGCTGTTTTCCTGGACACGGAGGCAAGCAGTCATGTTTTTCCTTTGTTCTGAACTACGTTGAATAAAGCTGTAAATATGCTCTCCTGTCTGAATATTTCGTTGTGGAGACTCTGCTGAAAGGATGGTCTTGGAATGTCTCTGTGGCTCATGTTGCTAATTGACTGATGCTGTTCCACGGGAGACTGGTGATCGTCCAGAGACGACTGGGGGCCTGCCTGATGCCTCCGTCTCCCTGGCAGTATCCCAACAGTGTGGGAGACAGAAGGAAAAACAAATACACCCAATATAGGGTTGGTGTGTTTTCCTTTCCTTGCCAAGAAAAAGGGATGGCTTTGGATCCTGTAGACCCCAAACCTCCTTCAGTGACTCCTCCCTTGGCAGCTTTCACATCCATGAGGCAGCCATGGCCTATTGCAGGGATCACAGGATTGTGCCCTTAAGCTTGCATTTGGAAGGGACTTACTGAAAATACTAGTTGTACAGGGAGGGTGGTAAAAAAATCAGGGCATTCAAGTACACAACAACAACCATTTTTATTATTTGTACTTTGCCCATCTGACTGGGTTGCCTCAGCCACTCTGGGCAGCTTCCAACATAGTGATAGGATCTAGATGACCCTGCAAGCAGGCCAACTGTTTTAGGTGGTGGTCACTAAATATGGCAAATGCATATTAACTCCCCACCCCAGTGTGTATAAAAGGATGACTAACCAAATCTTATCATCACAGCACTATATATTCATACTAAGTGACCCCTTGTCAATGGCAGACCATGTTGCAGGATGTGGGAAGGATAAGCAGAAAGCTATAAGAGAATTTAAAATGTACTTGCTATTTTTGACAGCAGCCCAAACTAATGTAACATGCAGTTCCTTCCTAAGCAAAGCACAATAATTTACAGAATTCCTCTAACTTGACATCTGTTGGCTTAATCCATCACAGAGAATTTCAGTAATCTGGGTTTTTATTTTGTTTTTTTGAACAGGTTAACAACAGGATCCCAATTTGGTACATCCATTATATAAGTACCGTATATGGATTTATTCTATAACCAACTATTCTAAAAGTTGCAATGTTATTTATTTTGCAGTATGATTCTACAATAATCAGATACAAAGATAGACTTTACTTTTGCAGAGTTGCTAGTGCTTAAGAATTATCTTCATTCACATTTGTCCGTATAGGGCTAGTTACAGGAAATACTTTTTGCCTTAGATCTGCATTACCATACAACCCACTCTCATCTTGCCATGTGTTGATCCCATGTCTTCTGTAATCAGCCGTGTCAGTAAACTGAGAATGACATTTTCTGTGAACTACAGAGTAGCCATCTGGCTGAAGCTCAATCTAAAGAAAATACATTCAAGGGCATGTTATTAATCAGAAGGCAAATTTGTAAACCATTTTTGATGATAAGAGAGGCAATGGTTGTGTTTGCACATCAAGCAAAACTCTGCCACAACCTAGAAAACCCAAGAAGCTGCTTTATACTGAATCCGACCATTGGTCCATCTGGCTCAGTATTGCCTATGTTAACTGGTGGGGGCTTTTCAGAGTTTCAACTGGCGACATGACCAGCCCTACCGGGAGATGTCAGGGATTGAACCTGGAACTTCTACATGGGAAGCAGATACTCCACCCCTAAGCTACAGCCCTTGTTGCCCCCAAAGAAAACCTTGTGCCATTAGCTCCCCTGGTTAAACAGTCTTGGTTTAGAATAGCTACCATTTTCACAGCAGATAAAATAGACTGAAAATCAGTGCTAGCGCAGGCTTCCTCACCCTCGGCCCTACAGATGTTTTGAGACTACAATTCCCAGCATCCCTGACCACTGGTCCTGCTAGCTAGGGATCATGGGAGTTGTAGGCCAAAAACATCTGGAGGGCCGAGGTTGAAGAAGCCTGTGCTAGGGCAACAAAGCAAACAGTTTTTAAAGCTTTATTCCCGGTGACAGCAACAGAAAATAATTTTTAAAAAACCAAGAGCAAAGAAGGAGAGGAGTGAATTTCTGGGATTGGGGGTAAGCTATATCCCATGGTAATTTTCAGACAGAAAAGTATTTCACTTTATCCTTCTCATCCTAAACATATTTTATTTAAAGTAAATCCTCTTGATTTTGATTATGCTAATTTTCAAGTAAGCATGCTTAGGATTGCAGTCTTATTTTAAATGTTCAGTTTGTTATTCAGCTAGATAATTTGTACGTGAAAGCTATCTTTCCTTTATGTGTACTACAGGGATCTAGAAAAAGGAGAGTAGATGGAGATGAGCTGTTTGTTGGGGGGGGGATTTATCCCCCTTATTCCCCACAAGTGATGCTGATGTTTGTTGGATCATGAAATTAGAGGAGGGCTTTCTGAAATTAATAGTATTTAACATTGTTGTCATTGCCTAGAGCTTGAAGGAAGCTTCAATAAATAAATGTAAAACCAGAATTCAAGCAAAAACCCACCAAGTCTATAGACAAGAAATGTAAATACCAACCAATTTCTTGTTTGATGGGTAGTTTTAAAAACAACAATAAAAACCATTGGTTATTGTCAGGGAACTGACATCGGAACCAGAGGCGGAGGGAAGGCTCTCAAATGATGCTGGAGAAGGGCCCAGCAGGGAGAGAGGCAGCTCCGCAGATGGGGAAGCAAATCAGCGCAACACCAGGGATAAAGAGGGGCTGATGGGGAATCGGCGAGAGGGCTCCAGGACTCTTCACCGGACACCAGCGGGGAGAGCACGGGTCCCCCGCTACCCACGCCCACCCTGCGCAGAAGACTTCCGTGCAGAGAGAGTAGGAGGAGACTGGGTGTCAAACAACTTTTATGTTGGAAAAGATTTAAGAAACGCCCACTGACGGATTCTGCTAGCGACTGAGGCAGCCACGAAGTGAAGGGCTGCCCAGACTGAAAAGTTTAGCAAGGCAACAAAGCCTGGAGAGGCGGCAACTTACGCACGAGCAACCCATACACATTACAGTTATGTTTGCTGTTTCAAAAGAAAAAAAACCTTTTTTAAAAAAGATAACTAGCTAATAGAAACATAACAGCTCTGCTATTTCCCTCCTACCATTATAGCTCAGTTTATATGATGTGGTAGCATCAGGGTGGATAAAAATCAATGATTTTCAAAAAAAATGTTTAAAAAACAGATTTTTAAAAAAATCAGTTATTTTTATTTAAATTGGATTTTTAAAATGAAATGCTTTTGGAGGGAAAATCTTTCTAAAGATAGTTTTCTATCTAAGTTACATTATAGTCCAAAGGCTATTCATCAGGAAATAAGGATTTAAGTTTTTCATGTGTGCTAAAACTCAGTCTAAGGTTGTGGGTTGTTTTTTTTTTTAATTGTTTAACCACATCAGTTAACAAACATGGATACATATGCTATAATGTTATTGTTTTAGTTAAATAAATTGTTTGAATTGTTATTAAGGAAATGATTATTATTCTCCTTCCAATAAAGTACAGCAGAAAAGTTGTCCAAATATAGACAGTTAACTTATTAAACCTCACAATTTCATAATTATCTGTCAATGTATTTCTAGTAGTATAACCAAATCAGTAATTTTTGATGTAACTGCAAAAACTACTTTGAAAAATTATTATTCCCTGCAGGATACATTAGGACTAAGGAAGCAAGGGATCTAATTGTCAGGAGACTCAGGAGACAGAGTAGCTGAAGGAAGAGGAACAAAGGGGAAGGACCAGAAGGGAAGGGGAAATAATCCAGGATGCTTGTTCTGGAGGGTTTCAATTTTCACACTGTGTCCATCTTGGAGGGACCACGGTGGGACTTAATGCCCACCATGACCACTATGGTTTCTTAATACATTGTCAGCATGACGTTCTGCAGGATACACTTTGGATCTTGTATATTTGACGCCACAGAAAGTGGAGAGCCTGGAAATCAGGAGCTTCTCTGTCAGTCCAATGTCTTGAACAGACTATTTCTTGGTGAGGTTTTGTCAAGATGTGGCCTGACAATGGGGAACCTAATCTGATGAAAGGAAATTGTAGAGGCCCCCCCCCCAGTACAACTGAGAACCTGGAAGAACCTACAAAAGTCCCAAAGCAGACTGTAGTGCCTCAGCTCATGAATGCCTTGTCTGAGCTGTGCCTTGATCCACAATGCTTCCTCTTCCACCATCCAGGCCTTAAGAGCAAAGACGGCAGGGAATTCACGGAGTTCCTGCAAAGCTCCACAGGTGAAGTCATTCAACATCTGTAGCGAGGGGCCATCAGTAGGCCAATGAGACTCAACTCTTTTTCATCTGAGTCAGGTGTTCAGGTGAGGCATGCAAGAGCCGAATTGGTGTCTGGACTCAGTAACTGGCAGCATGAATTTCAACAAGATGGAGGCACTGAGAGTGGGTAGTTTTCAGGTTCAGAAAATTGGTGTTTGTCCTGATCTGGGTGAGATTTCATTCTTCCTGAAAGGGTAGAGACACAGTTTGAAGATATTCCCTGATCCCAGCATTGGATCCTCAGTGGCCCAGGGTGTATTTTACCAACTTTGGCTGGTTTGCAACTGCAACTGTTCCTGAATAAGGAGTCCTGCTTTGGTGATCTGTGTTCTGGGAACCTCTCTGTTTGATCACTAATGTATTATACAGGGGGATGCCCTTAAAGACATCCCCAGAAGCTTCCATTCATGAAAAATCTGGCTGCAAGAGTGTTGGCAGGTATAGCTGAGGTTGTTCATATTTCACTTATTTTAAAATATCTACTGCTTATTTGCTTCTAACCCTAATTTAAGGTGCTGGTCCTTACTTTAAAGTCCTAAATGGCTTGGAGTCCAAATACCTGAATAATGGCCTCTTGCCATATGAGGATGCCTACGTCTTAAGATTTGTTCCAGTATTGCTCCAGTTACCCTCTTTAGTGGATTATGTTATATAAAGCAGATGTCTTTTTGTATTGATGTGTCAACATTTTAATGTGTTTGCCAAGGAGACACACCTGGTTTTGTTGACTAGTGGGGCCATTCCTACTTGCCCAGGTATTTTAGCCTTTTAAAATTGTAGATGGCTTTGTTGGGGTTTCTATTTGATTTTGTCTTGTTATATTTTGCTGCATTTTTAAAATTATGTTAATTAGTTTTTATTTGTGCTTAAGTACACTCTCCTGGAATCTTTGTATGACGCATAAGTAAGGAATATTTTAAATTAAATAGTCAAGAAACCATGTGATAGTAGCAGAGATTGAGGAGACATAGAGGGTGCCTAGGCATGCTTAGAAGGAGCTTGAGGAGCCAAGGATGCTAATGATGGCAAATGCATTTTACACATTGAAGCAGAACCTTGCGCTGGTATGCTTAATGAGATCAAAATGTCCAAAGGATGTGCATATGGTAAAAAAAGGTAAAAGGTAAAGGACCCCTGAAGACAGGAATGCCTGGCGTGCTCTGGTCCATGGGGTCACAAAGAGTCGGACACAACTAACGACTAAACAACAACAAAAGGACCCCTGGACGGTTAAGTCCAGTAAAAGGCAACTATGGGGTTGCGGCACTCATCTCGCTTTTCAGGCTGAGGAAGCTGGTGTTTGTCCACAGACAGCTTTCTGGGTCATGTGGCCAGAATGACTCAACCACTTCCAGTGGTGTCTGATGGGACACCGTGACAAGTGCATATGAGAGAGACAGAAGGGCGGGGAGAGGGAGAGAGACAGAGAGTGTTCATCATGATCACAGGTGAAATGTGTACTGACAAACACTTTCCTCTATGAGTTGCCATGGTTACAAAAATATCTGGCCATGATTCCCATTCTGCTAAAATCCCTGGCGCATAAAGGAAGGGATCCAGAGCAAGCCATGATTCATCCACACACTTTCCTTTCTCATTTACTGGCTTAACTCTGTATTCCATACACACACAATTAATCAATGCAATTTAAGTGGTAAAGTTAACATTTCTCACTGCTCCTAGAGGCCAACAAATAATACAACAGGTTTGCAATCCAGTTAAAGATTATGGGTTGTGTTCAAGGTAGAGCCAAGGTTATCATTCTATCAACGCAAGGATTTTTCCTTGCATGACAGAATCTTCTTCCTCCACCCAACTTTGTCCCTAACCCTCTAGAGCAGATTTGGGGACAGCACAGGGTGTGTACAGTGGGGTTGGCCCATAAGGTGGGGTGAAGAAACCACTTTGGGCAATGGGTGCCTCCCCTGTCCCCCCACCTCTGCCACCGGCCTGAGTCTGGACATTAGGTTAAGGCCAACAATTACTCAGCACTAGGTAGTGTGGCAGCAGCATGATCAGGGAGGAGCAAGGGCCTCAAACTGTTGCTGGGAGTTCCCACATGCTTTCTCATTCACACATACCCATGGTATGGCTTAATGTTATGTGCAAACTGGGCTGCTATCCAATTTCATTGCTATGTAATATATATAAAATTGACTATCTTGGGGTGAATCTACATATTTCATTTACCTGGTAGAGCCTGTTTGAAACAACCTCTGAATGGCTACTGTTCTACACATGAAGGCCTTGATGTAAAGCATGGTAGAAAACAACCATTCTGCTCTTATACTTACATATGGTTCATAGTCATATGGTGGAACATAATCTGTTTGGTATGTTGTATCTAGAAACCTGTAACATAGAGAGTATATATTATACCTAGCTTTTGTGTAATGTTTTTAACTTGTCTGTCTCTAAGAGCTCTTAGAAAAACAACTTAAAAGATATAGTTAACGTTGATCTTTTAGTAAGCAAGACCAAAGTAGTGGAAAAAGGTATTTTCAGTGTGTGTTCCCATAGCTGTTAGAGTCAAGTTATAATTTACAGAATTTATTCTCCTTTGGATTTGGACCAAATGAGGACTGCTAATTTCCAGAACCCCCACAATTGTTTTTCAGTACTAGAAAAATTTAGCAGCTACGCCTGAGGCACAGGAAGAGTAAGACTTCCAGTGAACTGCCAAAAAGTGTCATGCTAATGAAAATAGAAGTATTCCTGTGATCTGTCATATAACATGTTGCACTCGATTGGAATTTTCTGACAGAAGTTGATCTATTCTCAGCCTGTTTTTAACTGGAGAATCCCAAAGCCCAGTTCACCAACACAGCCCACAGCAGAACAGTTCCAGATATGAGTTTTCCAAAGCACTGCTTTTTGCAGGGACAGTTCTCATGGCCCTTGGCATCCCTATATGATTGCGAGGATGGCACAGGTAGAGCACTACATTCATACGAACAGTCCAGTTGGTTGTACTTATTTCATACATGTATATAGCTGGAAAGTTCTTGAAGCGATTTAGAGGAAAATTGAACAAACCCACAACTGTTGCCAATCAATTTCAGAATATGGCTCTTAGGAGGGTAGGAATGGATTGTGCCAAGTTGGCATTTGGACAGCCATGGCAGTACAAGGATTGATGCAGGTGGACACTGGAATTTCCAGCCCTGACCCAAAGACTCTGTTTACAATTTTAACAAGTTACAAGAGAATATGTAATAATAATAATATATTATTTATACCCTGCCCATCTGGCTGGGTTTCCCCAGCCACTCTGGGCGGCTTCCAACAAAGTATTAAAATACAGTAGTCTGTTAAACATTAAAAGCTTCCCTAAAGAGGGCTGCCACCTTCTGCCCCTTACTTAAATCTTATCTCATTCACTTCCAGGACTGGAACCCAGGTAAAGAAAAGTGCCCAAACACAAGAAGGCACGGGTATATTTAGCTTTCCTTCCTCATATGCACCTTTTGATGTAGAAATCAGACCCTACCCAACCCTATACTTGATATATGAACAGGGCAGATACAAGAACAATAAATGTGGCTTCAGTCTTCTCACCTAGTTCAGCCCTATGATGAAAGCAGCAGCAATCATGAATTCATGATTTATTACATACCAAGCCAATAAATAAAACAAAGCATGTTCTGATCATCCTGTAACAAGATCATCTTGTAACCTCTTTTAAAGATGATCTCTGTAAAGTTTGTACTCTGAGCTAGTGACTAACTTTTAAAAATATGTTCAGAGTTGCCATGAAAGGCAAATGATCCAGCTCTAATAAGCATTATAATATCTAGCTTTCAGGAGAGTTGCAGGGGATAAATATCAAGTTTATGGGGTCTAGCTAGTTTACCCACTAAGATATTCAACCACACTGCGATCCCACATCCCAGCCTCGCAAAGCGGCGCAGGGCTGGCAGGGCAGTGTGAGGATGCAACAGGAACATGTGTGCTTTGGATACATGCCTGTTGCATTCTTGCATCCCCCTGTCAGCTCTGCGCCCAGTGCTTTTCCCATTGCAAAGAGCCCCCAAGCCCCAAGAAGGAGGAAGAGACGTTGTTGACCCTCCTGGAACCTCCTTGCACCCTGCTCGGCTCCAGTTGCCCCACAGCCTTCCAGTAGGAAAAGGCGCAGGCTGAGAAAAAGCAGGGTATAAATAAGAAGGATGGAAGGCAGGCACAGCATGCAGCCTTCTCTTCTGTTTTCATGCCTCTGCACCGCCAGATGGACGCAGCCTGGAAGGCGAGTGGAGCCCATGAAGGAGCCTGACTGCATCGGAGGCAGAACAGCCGCGGAGAGGTGGGGACAACACTGACAGATGGGAGGGGACAACGGTAGCACAGATGAGGCAATTTGGGTGGGTCTTTCCCACTTGACCCACAATGTGTCTGTGGGGAGAGTGGTGCCCTCAGTGATTAGTTCTCACTTGCTGCACTCCTAGCCCCGCCTACCTGTGAGTAAGACCTGTAATTTACACAGACTAATATTTAGTCATATGGTGCCTTCAGGCAGCCTGTTTATTGAGCATCCATCTTAATTTGTTTGCAGGGAGATTAAAAGACATTGGCTGTTTAAGGAACCTTCATTCCGATTTGTCTTCAGGGAGGTGACAAATCAAAGGTAGTGCTATCCCACACTTTCCAGTGCATTTTCCTGCATGTACCTTGTTGCAAAAAGTCTGATCTTTGGGGGAAGTGGGCTTGTTGTGCAAGACATCCTAGTCAACTATAATGGCACAACCTAAATTTACTAGTACAGTGGTACCTCAGGTTACATACGCTTCAGGTTACATAGGCTTCAGGTTACAGACTCCACTAACCCAGAAATAGTGCTTCAGGTTAAGAACTTTGTTTCAGGATGAGAACAGAAATTGTGCTCCGGTGGCGCGGCGGCAGCAGGAGGCCCCATTAGCTAAAGTGGTGCTTCAGGTTAAGAACAGTTTCAGGTTAAGTATGGACCTCCGGAATGAATTAAGTACTTAACTTGAGGTACCACTGTATGTGCTTGAATCCTACCTGAAAATAGCAACTGTCTGGAAGCACAGTTAGCCTACTTATCTATTTACCACATTGTCTACAAATACATCTATGCCCAAAGTGATTCTTCAGGAGTTCAGTGGAGCAATGCTATGCCAACCCCCACCCTTCCCAAATAGCAGTTACTGGAACAGGGCAGATGAAGGGCAGCAAGTGACATGGGGCTTTGTAGAAGGACATTTTACTTTAATTACAGCAATATTTTCTCAAAATACAATGCATGTACTTTTGGGGTAAGGGGTTCAATTCTGGATGGGGGAAGGGAGTCAGAGTGTCATAGTCCACAAGTTAGGGGATGCCTTGCCCTGGGTGCTGGCAACCCATGCTACGCCGCTGAGCCTACTCACAGAAGTGGTTGGTGGCTGATTAGCTGCTCTCCCTGTGCAAAGGTCAGAGGGGGCAGGGTTTCTGTTGAGGCAGGTGATTAGCAGTGGGAGGAGCTTATCAGAGCTTGCAGGGCAACAGCTGAAGAAGGAGCAAAACGGGTTTGATCCATCTTTTAGATTTAGGGAGCTAGTCTCAAACATTTGTTGGGGAAGACCTAGGTTTTTCTGGGGGGGAGTTGTTTGTCCTGTCTTCACGCTTTTTACGATGGAGGACCGCCGTAGCCACCCCGAACGACACGTTCTCAAGATGGAGGGGGAGGGAACAGCTGCAGTCGCCTGCGGTTCCTGCGCAATGTTTGCCATCTTGTCAAAGGTTGCAGGCAGCTTTACCTGCAGCAATTGCATGTTGATTGCCCTCTTAGAAGACAAAGTCCAGCAACTGGAGGAACGTGTAGCTACGCTCCAAAGAATTAGAGAGCTGGAGCTCTTCTTGGAAGCAACAGAGCACACCGTCTCCACCAAGGAGGAGACAGGGGACTCCCTGAGAAGGAGGCTAGTTCACCAACACAGGAGCCAGATATATGGAGAAACGTGACTCAAAGAAGTAGGAGGCCCAGGGTTCGCTCTGATTGTTTAGAAATACACAATCGCTTTGAGGTCCTCTCCCCTAGCATGGAAGACGAAGAGCAGACTCCATTTGAGGATCTCTCCCTCATTACAGTCGATCAGGTATATGAAGACGAGCAGCAAAGTCAGTCCTCAGGGAATGTGCAGGCGACCTTGGAGCGGACAGCTCACGGAGGAACCCCGACCAAACTTAAGAGGAGGCGTGTAGTGGTGATAGGGGATTCCCTACTGAGGGGAACAGAAGCAGTGATTTGTGGGCCTGACAAGATGTCTCGGGAAGTGTGCTGTCTCCCCGGGGCTAAGATCCAAGATGTAACTGAACGACTGCAAGGAATCATAAAACCCACTGACAAATACCCCTTCCTCTTGGTTCATGTGGAAACCAATGACACTGCAAGCCATAGCCTCCAGAAGATCAAAAGAGACTACGAGGCTCTGGGCAGGAAATTGAAGCAATTAAATGCACAAATTGTCATCTCATCTGTCCTCCCAGTTGAACGACGTGGCCCAGGGAGAGAGGGAAAAATAGTGGAAGTGAACAGCTGGCTTCGCAAATGGTGTAAACAGGAACGGTTTGGATTCTTAGATCACGGACTGCAGTTTCTTGAAGATGGACTTCTGGCAAGCGATGGGCTGCACCTCACAACGGTTGGGAGAAATGTTTTTGCCAAAAATCTCAGAAACCTCATCAGGAGGGCTTTAAACTGACTAATGTGGGGAGGGAGACAGTGCTCCTGAAGGTAGGAGTCTATCAATTGATGAAGATGATCATCCAAATGTCATATACCAAATGGAGCAAACAGCACGCAGACCTAGTGGTGGGAGGAAAAAATCCTTAAATAAGAGACACGGGGGAATGATTAATGGACTTCAATGTCTGTACACTAACGCACAAAGCATGGGAAATGAACAAGATGAGCTTGAGTTTGATGCCCTTGAGTCCATCATCCAAGTCGTTGATAAAGATGTTGAATAAGACCGGGCCCAAGACAGAACCCTGTGGCACCCCACTAGTCACTCTTCTCCAGGATGAAGAGGAACCATTGATGAGCACCCTTTGGGTTTGGTCAGTCAGCCAGTTACAAATCCACTGAGTGGTAGCATAGTCAAGACCGCATTTTACCAGCTTCTTTACAAGAATATCATGGGGCACCTTGTCAAATGCCTTGCTGAAATCAAGGTAGGCTACATCCACTGCGTTCCCTTCATCTACCAGGCTTGTAATTCTGTCAAAAAACGAGATCAGGTTAGTCTGTGAGCACCTAGAAAGGAATGCTGTGATCACCAATAGTCAGCATGGATTTCTGAAAAATAAGTCGTGTCAGACTAACTTGGATGATGGACTCAAGGGCATCCTGATCAAATTTGCAGATGACACCAAACTGGGAGGGGTGGCTAACACCCCAGAGGACAGGATCACACTTCAAAACGACCTTGACAGATTAGAGAACTGGGCCAAAACAAACAAGATGAATTTTAACAGGGAGAAATGTAAAGTATTGCACTTGGGCAAAAAAATGAGAGGCACAAATACAAGATGGGGGACACCTGGCTTGAGAGCAGTACATGTGAAAAGGATCTAGGAGTCTTGGTTGACCACAAACTTGACATGAGCCAACAGTGTGACGCGGCAGCTAAAAAGCCAATGCAATTCTGGGCTGCATCAATAGGAGTATAGTATCTAGATCAAGGGAAGTAATAGTGCCACTGTATTCTGCTCTGGTCAGACCTCACCTGGAGTACTGTGTCCAGTTCTGGGCACCACAGTTCAAGAAGGACACTGACAAACTGGAACATGTCCAGAGGAGGGCAACCAAAATGGTCAAAGGCCTGGAAACGATGCCTTATGAGGAACGGCTAAGGGAGCTGGGCATGTTTAGCCTGGAGAAGAGGAGGTTAAGGGGTGATATGATAGCCATGTTCAAATATATAAAAGGATGTCACATAGAGGAGGGAGAAAGGTTGTTTTCTGCTGCTCCAGAGAAGCGGACACGGAGCAATGGATCCAAACTACAAGAAAGAAGATTCCACCTCAAGATTAGGAAGAACTTCCTGACAGTAAGAGCTGTTCGACAGTGGAATTTGCTGCCAAGGAGTGTGGTGGAGTCTCCTTCTTTGGAGGTCTTTAAGCAGAGGCCTGACAACCATATGTCAGGAGTGCTCTGATGGTGTTTCCTGCTTGGCAGGGGGTTGGACTCGATGGCCCTTGTGGTCTCTTCCAACTGTATGATTCTATGATTCTAAGTGCCTGCATGCTTGCCCAGCCTGGCTCAGGACGGAACCCATGTGAATGACTGTGCCCACCCTACTTGGGACATCTTGGCAAATGCCTAGCCATGAATTTAACACCTCTGCTTTAACTGCCAGCTTTGGAATAATCATGCCGAGAGTCTGCCTACCATGTGCACGAGTGACAGCCAGGGCAGATGCAAAGGAAGAAAGCCTCTGGACAAACACAGAGGGCTGTAGTCAATGTTAGTCAAACTCAGAGTAGACCCACTCAAATTAAGAGACATGGCTAATTCAAGAACGTAAATTTCAGTGAGTTTAGTCTGAGCAGATGTTACAACCCAGAATGCCTAGGCCCCCACCCCAAGGAGAAATGTAGTCATAAAGTTACCTACATGGGAGAAAGGAAGGAAGCTTCTAAGCATACACTGAGTGCAGTATAATTAACTGAGCCTATGCAGTCTGTGCTACCAGACTTCTGTTATAGTAATGCACTTTTAAATATGAAGTAGAGTTGCAGAAGATGGTGAATAGCAAGATACCAGTATATTCTATAGCCAACACAGCAGTTTCTAAATGTAGAATTTTAATGTTTTACTATCTATGCAGTCTGTCAATATCTGTATTATAAACATTTATCAACACCATATTCTTAGGAAATAAATATGGTGAACCAGATGCTGATAAAATTAAAACTTAACATACTTTCGTTTCACCAGAAGTTGTTTCCTGCATCTGCTCCCTAGTCTTGGATATAATCTTGCCCTCCTTTGCTCTCAGATTTAATTCAATTTATTTTTTAAAGTAGCATTGGCCTTCTGGATTTGATTTACTGCTCCACTGCCTTTCTGTTTAGGGTCATTTAATTTGCTGTTTTCAGTTTCAAAGCCTCTCTCAAATGTTAATGCTAGTCATCTACTTTCCTCAAGTCTCAGTCACAATGCTAATCATTTTTAAAGTTTATGTTTTGGAACATAAATTGCTCGTAATTCTAGTAAGGTAAATACTGCAGCTTTTTTTATTCAAAACAAAAGCAGACAAAACCAGTTACTAGCCAGAAAACCTTTTAAAAGAAAATTATACTTTCCTCAAAAAATATCTCAAAATGTTTACATAAACCCATGAGCTAAAAGCCTGATTTGCACACCATGGTCAGCCAAACTATGGCTTCCTGGGACCATGCAAATCTGCAGGTTCCCAGGGAGGAGCTCACAGCCAGTTTGCTCCACACCTGTCTTTTCTACTCCCACAAAGCACTGAAGCTGGACTTAGCATATGGTGTGAACAAGCTCTCTCCTTGCTAACCCAGACTGTGCAGCCAAGGTTTATTCCTCAGATCCATTTTCTTTTGCATACACAAATGAACAGAAAGTGGAAGTGCTATGACAGAACATACAACCATTTATTTGGGACTATTCCAGTAATAACACTAACATCACTTACAGTGAGATCCTATACTGTACCCGGGTACTGAATCCTTAATTGCCAGGGAAATATTTCAGTGGGTCATGGTCAAAAGCAACAGAAAACTTCTCATTGTGTTTCAAAATACAAAATTATGCCAATGCATTTAATGAAGAAATGAGTACTCCAGTCTTCTTAAGCAGTTTCAAGGTATCCTATGCAAGTATTGGAAGCAAACTCAAGAGGAAAATAAGATATCACAAGAGTTTTAACAAAGCAGCATGGAGAGGAAACATTCGTATTTTTCCTTGCTTGAAAATAAAAAATATGATTAATATTCTAATGCAAAATACAACCACTAAAAGAATTAACTATGTTGGAACTGAAACTAGTGCACACATGTCACATGTTATCCAATGCAATTACTTCTCTGTGAACACTATAGATCTTTCCAACCCTTAAAATGCAGTACAGAATCTGATCATAAATTATCTAGTTATTACAATTTTGCAAGTACTAACATTTTAAAGTGATCTGGAGAGTGACAGGGCAATACGGCTCCAGGACCTGTTTCAGGTAACCCTGTCTCCCTGCAAAAAGAGAGTTTTTCAGACTTCAAGCAAAACAATAAAGCATTAAGCAAGTCAGATATTAAATGTTTTATGATGAATTCAATTCCCATGAGTGGATGGGTATTAAATAAATGATCAGTAGTCATTGGATCAAACTCAGTTATTAAGAGACATTATTGCCACAATGTTTTCATGCTACAATAAAATGCTGTTGCTTTTGACACAGTTGTAGGGTTATCACACGGCATTTTTGCAAGTGGTCACTACTGCTCTCTACTGGATGAAATGTGACAGACGTGTTCAAACATTTATTTATTTTTAAACTTTACTGCTTAGCAGTAGCTGAAGATCAAAACTATTCTCATCCTGACAAATGTCTCTAGTATAGAGCATAACTTTCCATCTCAACAGCACAAAGAGGCAAGGTACAACATTAATTCTGAACTAAACAAATTTAATGGAGGATGCCAGTTTCTCATTCTACTTTTGATGAACTACCACCTCTATCACAGATACTTTGGAGCAAATGTAGAAATTATTGGCATCCAATATTAATGGCACTCAAATGTTTGCCGTACAAATAGCGTAAGATATGAAGATAAAGCGGGCGAAAACAGGAATTCACAATGTGCTATATCCTATAATGCAGTATTATTTGAATACTGAGTCTGGATTCAAAAGCTTTCAGAAATACCTGCCAATAACAGCTATTTCAAAATTATCTTCATCCAACAAAGACTTCTGAATGTCTAGTTCTTTATATTCTTTAATTCTGTAGGGTTGAGACAAATGATCTTCATATGTGGTTACCCATTTCTAAATGGAAATGTAACAGAGAAAGGAATGGGTTTTAGAAACACACCAGCTGTCAACTTATTAAAGGTAATGAAAAATTATATGTGCTTTTATATGCCAATTATTCTTATGGATGTAGAGTATTTTTCTGGAACAAGATCCTGATCCTGCCATTATACTTCTCCTCCTCCTCATGCTTCACCCCTGCCTCACTCCTCTCCCTTACTGATCCAACCGTGTAGCCCCATCAAACTTACCATGACCTATCTAGCCTGACAAGCATAAGACATGGATAGGTTTCTAGAAGCAAGCCGAACCCCCTCCTTCCTTGGCCTGTGTCAATGATTTCATGGGAGGGCAAGGAGTTACAGAAATCCCTTCCGCCTCCTTGGCCTTAGATCCATTATGCTGTGAGTTGAATTTGCTTCCAATAGATGCATGTAAGGAATGAGTCCACCACAGCAATTAAGAAACTGATTCCAATCATGTTGAAAATAAATAATATTTCCACACTTTAGGGAGCTTTTGATTAGAGAGAAAATAATCTAATAATCTGCATATCATATTGGCTGCCCTCTGCTTTTTTGAGGTTTGGAGGATCAGAATGTGACAGAATATTGCGGAACAGCTATTTTATATATCAATACTTTAAAACTGGCACGACCCACATACCCATTTAGTTGAATGAATTGATAAAAGGTATACTATTCTTGCATGATGGCTCTACCACCAACTATATGGTCAAGATATACGTTAATACAGTCGTACCTCCGTTTACGTAACCCTCTGGTTACGTAAACTTTGGGATGCACGCGCGGCAAACCTGGAAGTATTTTACGGGTTTCGCGCATGCGCGTGCACAGAAGTGGTCCTCAGGTTGTGGAAACCTTGGGATCGAACTGGACCTCCAGAACAGATCCCGTCCACAACTGGAGGTACCATTTTAATTCACTTACAATTAAATCAGTGTATAGGTTTGTATCAACTGCTATAATACTATAATGTCAGTTTTTGGATTTGATTTGAACTGGCCTCAGAAAGTTAAGCAAGGAGTATATTCAGATTAATCGGATTCCATGAAAATCAAGGTGTGCTAAACTCTGCAACTCTCTGCTTTAAGAATTAGGCTGGCTTTCACGTTCCCAGCAGGCTGCTCCTGCATCTTATTCACCCTTCCAACTTCACCTGGTTTGTACTACATTTGTAATAATTATTATTTGTTGAATCAACACTCAGGGCTTATCCACACTTCCCCTTCTCCCACTGCTTTCCCCTGGGGAAAACCGCTGTTTAGCACTCAACTGGAACAAATAGCAATTCTGGTTTTCCCTGGAGGTAAGGCAAAGGGAAATCACTCGGACCGGTGCCTAGAAAGCTCCGGTCAACTGGAAAATTGCTTGGATGCATGCTTTCTAGTCATGACATAAGCGAAAGTGTGGAAGAGCCCAAACAGATGACTCATGTGTAAATGGTCTCCATCTCCCACCGCCAATGAAAACTAATCAACGAATGGATAAAGAACCTACCCACATGACACTGACACAAAAATCTTGCATGTACATGATGTAAAATAATGAAAGTTCACTACCCCACCCCGTACATCTTTTCTCCCTCAACCTCATACTCTCTATAACTTTGGTGTCTCACATCAAAAGTATGCTAGTGGTCAACATTGTAGAAACCTGTTGGAAAAACTGTATTTCTGGTGTTTCTATGTGAAACACATAGAAAAAATTAGATATACAAAAATTCTCACCAGTTTCCTGCCATGGCATTTGGCTGCTTTCCCAGGGCACTGGACCCCAATTGTGCAAGTTTTCAGGGATAATATGGGGTAATTATCCCTGCCAACCCACCCCGCAGGGTAGGGGGGCTGGCCATCACCTCGTCCAATAACTGCCGCTCACTACAGAATGCAGGGGCAGGGGCGCTGAGCACTGCACGAACTGGAAACTCTCCAGAGTCATTGCCATGAGCGGGAGGATCCCTGTTCCTCAAAAAACTATTAAAATTCAGACTAAGAAACAGGCGTGTTCTGGAATGAAGGCAATAAAAAAGACCTGCTAAATAAATCAGTCACTGGGTGCCAAGGCTTTGATCTGAAAAGGACTTTCATTGTTGTGCTGTGATTTAAGTGAGGTGAGCGGTAGTTTCTGTTTCTATATTTCTACATTTGTTACTTCATGATTTGGCAAACCTCACCAAGAAAGAATCAACCATCTAAATGAAATGCAGGAGGAATGGTAAAATTGGAGAATTTGATGCTTGATCGCACGGTCCTCTGTGGAGAGCTCCAATTAGAACTGGCAAAAACAAGATCAGATATACATGTGGCTTGGGTTGAGAAAAGGCCGCAGGCTGTGGTGCAGGAGAAAAAGAAATGGCCTCCCCTCCAGGAGAGGCTGAAGATAATCGATGGATTATAATTGGGGAATTTTTCACACACAAAACTGCATTTGCTTGCATGGATTATTGTTATATATGGATTAATGCCAAAATGAGGGTGAATCTTTGATCCTCGCGAGCTTTCCCTAGGGCCCAGGGAGAGCAAGCTTGGATTTCAGAGGAACCTAACAATTACTTATTGTTCAATATACCCTATGGCCCTGCTTTTCTATGCAAGACTCATATTTGGAACATCAGCTCGTTAAAAGACCTGAAAGATTGCTGTGCCATAAATCTTACTAAAAGAAGGAGAGCTGGAAGATAGCCCAGAACCCTTGACGATAAGACTGTGGAATAAAAAGGGGGGGCCACCAGGGTGGACTGTGCTGAAAACCAATCGATAGATAACAACACAAAACAAAATGCCTCTTGCATGATAATAGACATATGGATTTGCTAAACGCGATTGAAAGTCATACAGCAGTGAATGTGATATAAGACAATGGGATAAGATTGGAATTATGAAATTGGAAAAAATAAAAGAAAGCAGGAACAAGGGAAATAAACTTTCTCCCAACAGCCAGAACATGGGAAGTGCTCTTGAAAATTTTAATTTGGAAAGTATAATTGGCTTTACTGTTTGTATTATGATGTGGCAAGAGTCAGTTTGATTTGTTACCAATTGGAATGTTATTAACTGAAAATTAATAAAAAAAAAATTATACAAAAATTATCACCATGTCAGTTAATACTTAGTTGGGTAACCTTTAGCTTTAATTATGGTCTTACAACGCCTTTGCATGGAGTGAACCAAGTTTTTCTGTTCTGCAGCTGTAATAATGTGAAACCAAGATTGAATTATTGCCTTTATTAATTGGGTTTGTATTGCTGGCTCCATAGATTTTCAATTGGGTTAAGGTCTGGGCTATGTATTTGGGGGCATTTACATTCCCATTAATGATGCAAATTTTGCCCAAACCTTTTGCTGTCATACAACCCCAGATTACAACACATACCTGGGTGTTTCACTGTAGGTGTAATGTAAGTAGGATGTAAATCTCCAATTCTCCTCATGTATTTCATGCCACCACTACCAGGCAAGGGCATTTTGGTCTCATCACTCCAAATAACACTGTCCCATTATTCCACCGTCCAATTAACATGGGTTTTAGCTCAGTTTAATCTTTTAAACCTTTGTTTAAGAGATAAAAATGGCTTTTTCCTTGGAATTCTAGGATTTAGACCATATTCCTAAAGTCTGCACCAAACAGTCCTTGCACTCAACTTCACATTACATTGCACCATGTCATCTTATATACACCCAGATAATTTTCTTCTGTCACGTAGGCACAGTCTTTCAATTCTTCAGCAGAGCTATCTGGGCTCCATGCAATCAGAGAGGGCACTTCGGAGCCAGACAGTCAATAGCCCTGGTTAACTCCGCATTCCAGCGGGCCACCATCTGAAAGGCCATCAACATAGTATAAAACATCCCCTACCACTCTCTGGAAACCATTTGGATCCATTAAGTGGTGGGGTGTTATGAGCCATCAAACCTTGGAAATACACTTTTTCAAAAAGGTTTCCACAATTTTGGCCACTAGTGTAACATCCGCAGAAAGGACTCTTAGAACCTAAAGCAGAGATGCTGTATGTACTTCTGTTACCCAAGAAAATCTTCAATAAAAACAAAAAACAATATAAAAAAGTAATTGTATTTAGATGGGCTAGTTATTGGAAAGTTCTGCCTGCTGGTTTCTGATGGCTCTTTTACACATACAACATCAGGTATCATGCATGAAAGGAGAATACTAAGCACCTTCTGGCGAACCAGAGCAGCGCACGGAAACGCCGTTTACCTTCCCGCCGGAGCGGTACCTATTTATCTACTTGCACTTGGACGTGCTTTCGAACTGCTAGGTTGGCAGGAGCAGGGACCGAGCAACGGGAGCTCACCCCGTCGTGGGGATTCGAACTGCCGACCTTCTGATCAGCAAGCCCAAGAGGCTCAGTTGTTTAGACCACAGTGCCACCCGCACAGGATTGGGCTACTGTATTAAGACTTTTTTTCAGTCACACAATCCTCCCCATTCCATACAACAACCAGCTTTTAAAACTAAGACAATTTTAAATAAGTTATATTGCTACTGAAATTTATTTTAAAAATATTTCTAATTATTCTTCATATTCAAATACAAGGAATAATATTTTGACAGCTAATTAAAGTTATACTCCTGACATGTTTATAGGCATGAAAGAGGAAAGACGCTTTCTTACCTCATCTATGGTTCCAAGTCGCCAGTAGGTAGAGCGACATAAGTTTTTAGAGCCCAAAGGAATTTCATGTATGTCATAGTCCTTAGGTTCTGCTTCTCTCTTGTAGTACCTTAAAAAACCAACAACGGTAATAAGCTAGATGGGTGCTACCAAAGAAGCACACACAACAGACTCCTACCCAGATGCGCACGCCGTCTGTGCAAGATCCATCACATTTCGGGGGGGGGGCACTTTCAGAGTTTTTAGGGTGTTACTTGAAGCACTACAAACAACTGAAACCATTTCAACCACAGGCTGCGCCAGAACGTGCACGCCCAACCGGAATGGAGAACCCCGTCACTCGAGCACGCCTTTCCCCCAGCCCCGAGCAGCGCACCCCGGAGCCTTTCCCTCACCAGCGGTGCACCAGGGTGGGCCTCCCGTAGTCGGCGCCGGGCGAGCGCAGCGTCAGGGCTCCCCGGCGCTCCATCACGTCCGGAGGGCCCAGCTCCATCGCGGCCGCCCCACAAGCGCCGCCCCGAGGCCTCCTGGCCGCGCCTGGTCGCCGGGGCAACCACAGAGGCTTCGCGGTCGCTCCGCCCCAAGACCGGAACTTTTATTCCACGTTTCTTCCGCGGGGGAAGGGGCCCAAGGCTGCCCGGCAAGCAGCGGCTGCAGCTCCCGCGAGGCGGCCAGAGGCAGCAGCCTGCTTTAGCAGATCCCCAGCAAACCCCGTTGGGCTGCTGCACCCAAAAATATAACCACCTCGGTGTGGTAGGAATACTTGGTAAAAACACCCTTTGCGTGAGAAGCCCGCGCGCATCCCAGGCTGGTTGTGGCGAATGAAATTCATTCTGCACATGCACAGAGGCACTGTTGTGTCGCTCGCTTCATTGCTATACAAAGGTTGCTGGATGTAGGGCCTAAATTCAGCCAAGGCTCAAAGGGATGCAGCATTTCGGACTAAATGAACTCCTTGTGTATAAGGGGATTCCCTGCGCGTCACGTGAGTAAGAGGATGCTTTCACCTGTCCAGTCGCTTGAAGGGATCACTAGGTGTCAGGGCAGCTACAGTAGATCTCTGTTTGCCCTACAATTCCTCCCGGCGCAGTCTTCCGTTGTACAAGGAGATGCCTTCAGTGGGCTCAAGCCCAAGTCATGGGCTGTGTCGGCCAGATAGACAATGACAAAGATTCTTCCCCCAGATGTAACTGTTCATCATTTATCTTGTGAAGCGCCCTGAATTATATGGATTCGTAGTATACAAAATTAATTTAAAAAAATTAAATAAACCCCAATCCCCAACTCAATTCCAGGGTACATTGTGAAGGACTTTAGCATGCTAATGTCAACTTTCCCCCCAGTAAGCGCATTGAAATGTATTGCTCTGAAACAGAATGGGCAAGATTGCACCTTGCACTGGCTGTGATTTCCAGGCAAGACTGCAATACAAAGCAGGCGTGCAGTTAAAGACTGTCATAGATTTTGAGGGGGGGGGAATAAAGGCTAGGATTTTAATTGGGATAGGGATGCAAGTACAAGCTGCAGAGCTGTGCCCGACCGAATCCCTGCCTTGGGGAAGAGCAGCCCTGTTCCCGGGCCGGAGGAGCAGCGGGAGGGGGCCGGGATCCGGCTCCGGGGCTCCCGGGCTGTGGGGCGCCGGCCCCTCGGGGAAGGCGGGAGGGCTCCCCCGGCCAACGAAGCCTCTTCGGGGAAGCCCCGCCCGTCTCTGCCGCGGGACCCTGGCCGCCCGGCGGGCGGCGGCAGCCGGCTGGGGCGGCGGGAGGGACGGAGGGGCGCCGTCCGCGGACCCGCTCTCTGCCGCGAGGGAACTGGCGGGGCAGGACGGCGACGAGGCGCCCCTTCCCGCCGCGAGGCTTCGGCGGAGCGACCGCGGCGTCGCCGTCCTTAGTCGGGGAGGCGGCGTCTCGGTCGCGCTCCCGCCTGGCTTCCCCGAGCTCGGCGCTCCGCCCCGCGGCGCCGCTGACCCGGATGCGCTCGGCTTTCCCGGCCCGCCTCTGCCCGCGCGAGAGCCGAGGAGGAGGAGGAGGCCAGGGCGAAGGAGGCGGCGGCGGCGGCGGCGGCCCGCCATGGCCGAGTCCCCGGAGGAGGTGGCGGTGCTGGTGCAGCGCGTGCTGAAGGACCTGCGCAACGCCTTCCAGCGCAACCCGCACATGTGAGTCCGGCCCTCTCCCCGGCGGCGCCCTCCCGGGCGGGAATGGCAGGGGCCGGGGGGAGCCAAGAGCCCCTAAGCTCAGCCAGAGAATATAGACCATCCTGGGCGACGCAGCCAGAGAGCCGCCTTCGTCGCGGGCGCCACTTTCAGGTCCAGTTCTCTCTCCGCGTAGCTGGCTTCAGAGCTTTCCCTTCCAAGCCTCAAGTGCCTCTTGTTAGAGTCAGCGCGAGAGAAGGCGGCACTCCGCCATGGAGATTTGCCAGCGCTTCTGCCCGAAGAAGAAGAAGATTGCAGTGTTGGTCTCTAAAGCACATTTCCATTTTTAATGGTTCGGCGTTAATGTACTTTGGCAGTCTCCCTCTCTTCATGGGATTTCAGATAGTTTTTTCTGTCGTGGGTGATCTGGCTGAGATTTCTGCATTGGAGAGGGTTGAGCTGGATTACCTCCAGAGTCCCTTCCAACTCCACAATTCTATGAATCATTTGCCAAAATGGGCAAATTGGGAGAGAAGAAAGGGGGGGGGGACCCTCTGGATCATTAGCATGGATGTCTTTTACCAGTTAGAATAACTTGTGTAAGATCCCATTTCAGATCTGTGGTGGTGATGATGATAATTTATTATTTGTACCCCACCCATCTGGCTGGGTTTCCCCAGCCACTCTGGGCGGCTTCCAACAAAAATTAAAAATACATCAAAATGTCACACATTAAAAACTTCCCTGAACAGGGCTGCCTTCAGATGCCTTATAAATGTCAGGTAGTTGTTGTTCTCTTTGACATCTGGTGGGAGGGCGTTCCACAGGCCGGGTGCCACCACCAAGAAGGCCCTCTGCCTGGTTCCCTGTAACTTGGCTTCTCGCAGTGAGGGAACCGCCAGAAGGCCCTCGGAACTGGACCTCAGTGTCCGGGCAGAACGATGGGGGTGGAGATGCTCCTTCAGGTATAGATAGATGGGTGTTTAGCTCCTAAGGTATCAACTTTTAAATTTTGCTCTGGAATTTGATTAATGTATAAGAAAATATTTTAAAAGATGAAAGATGACAATTATTGAGGTCAACCTCAGTTTCAAAGATGACAATTATTGAGGTCAACACGCTGAACAAATTCAGAATGCTGTTAAAAATAATAAAAGCATGCAACACTTTCTCCGCTTTTTAAATTATTTGATAATTACTACAGGGCCCACCACATATTAAAGGAAATATGTGTCCTTTTTCTCCATCTGTGTCTCCATAGGGACCACCATGACATATGGAGGGGGTCATATGTCTGGAAGCAGGCAGTAAAAATGCACAATTGGGAGCTTTGATTGGCACATTTTTAGATAAATGTCTTCTGTGTGTTATGATGATAGCTGCACAGGCAGATGGTAGACAATCAGAAATGTGTTCTTAGTAATGTGTGAAGTAGCACTGAGAATTAGATGGCGGCATTATGCATCTGTTAGATATGTGTAGGTCTGTTCAGCGGTGGAGTAAGCTGATTGAGCGCCTGGGGTGGCGCGCTTACCCTGCGCCCAGGGGCGGGGCCAGTCAGGGCAGGACGCCCGAGCAGTCTGCCTGCTTCCTCCCCCTCAGCCGCCCTACAGCTGAGGGGAGGCGGTGGGCAGACCGTTTGGGACAGCGCGGAACCTGCGGGCACCCGAACCACCTGCAGGCCCCGTGGTGAGTGCCGCCTGGCATTTTGTCACCCTCCTCACTGGTGATACCTGGGGTGGCCCACCCACACCGCACCCCATTCTCTGCCCCTGGGTCTATTATTTTGAAGAGACGGCTACTTTTTACAGTGTCATCCTTACAGGGTTTATAATACAGGTTGCTATAAAGTGAAAATTTAGAATAAGGATCCATTCTGAGATTCTTAAATCTCCTTGTAGAACTTATTGGAAAGGAGAACACCCCCTTGCGCATCCCGTATCAGCAGGTAACTGGGGGTAGACTTTGTAACTGGGCCAGACTCTAGAACGGGCTTCCTCAACCTCAGCCCTCCGTACGTTTTGAGACTACAATTCCCAGCATCCCTGACCACTGGTCCTGCTAGCTAGGGATCATGGGAGTTGCAGGCCAAAAACATCTGGAGGGCCGAGGTTGAGGAAGCCTGCTCTAGAATGTAGGAAGCTACCTTATTCATCTATATAGTCAGACCATTATTCATCTTGCTCTGGATTGTCAACACTGTTTGGTGGAAGTTCTCCAAGCTTCCAGGTGGCAAATCTTTGCTAGTTCTACTGGAGATGCCAGAGTTGGATCTGGCACTGTCTGCATGCAAAGCAGCTGCTAAGGCTCCATTCTGAGAACAGAAAGCTTACTAATGAGTCAATTAACAATATCCTAAAGTAGTCCCAAAGTTGATGGCATTAGTACTCATCAGCACTTCGCACTTTTATTCCTTGACTTAAAATCTTGAACAGGCAGCCAGTAGAGTTCATTTTTGTGTCACGTTGTACCTGGCATTGAGAAACTTCCATGGTCCAGATTACTGACTGGATCTGGCAGATTGGGGCAGATAACTTGGATAGCATATCATCTGTGTTGGTCACCTTTGGATTTCAGGTCTCATTCAGTGGTTTTAATCTTTGTAAATGGCCAGGGACCTATATAGTTCAAGAATTGCCACTACTGAGGCCCTTATCTAGAGTTGCCTTTTCTTTTTAGTTTTGCAAGATCTTAAAAAAGAAGAAGTTTTGAGCTATTTTTAAGGTGGGCTTAAGGGGGAGGCTTTTTTTCCTGGCATGGTACCAACCCCTGGAATACTGTCAGAAGTTTGGCTTTTGGAGCAGATAGTGATTCTTTTAAGATCCTGAATCTGATCTTTAATTCCTGCTGCCTTTCATACTCGTTCTAATCTTTTAATTGCTTTTGCATATTCTTTCCTTTTGGTAATGGTTTTAATGGTTTTAAAATTTGTACTTATCCTTTGTCTGCTTAAGTCTTTTCTAAAAGTTGGAATAGACATGATGAATAAAATGGGGTAGAAATGTTGACTAAAATTAGAGCTGGAGTCTTGGGCAGGTGCAGATTTTTAAAATTACAACACCTGTACCCTGGGGTTTGTGGGAACAACACCCTCCGCAAAATTCCCCAGCAGAGAAGTCTTCAAGTGGTTCTTTAAAGAGGACAGATGTGATCATGAGATGCTTGCTTTGTCTTTTACTTGGAGGGCAAAACTTCAATACCCACCAGCCCTTTGTTGGTGATTGAAAAGCCCTTTGTTCTTTAAGTGTAGAAGTAGGAATGAATTTTAGAACAAAATGTTTTTGTGTGTTGAGATCAAACATAACCATTCTTTCCACATCAAGGAGAGACACCAAGGAGAGCTGGGAAACTTCTGCACTTCAGGGGATGAAAAGTGTCTTCATATATTGAATGGTTGCAAATACACGTTTATTACTGCATGTGAACCGCGGCAAAAAACTGCATCCAATCTCTGTTTCCTGGATCATTTCTGTCTGTTGTAAACCAAGACGGTGGCCTTAAGAAAGCAGTAGTTTTTTCAGGTTGTGTGGTGTTATCTCTCATACTGAATTTTTGCTTGCTCTCAAGTAGATTGCTTTAGAAGAAGAGAACTTTCTATTTTTATGTCTGTAGTGGTTATAAATTAAACATAAAGAGTCATATTTTTGACATGTTTTGCTCATTTGTGTTTTTCTGACTAAAGTAGGACAAGCCACTTTGACTGACATCATGTTCTATATTTAAATATTCACTAAATTTGCCAAATTCAATGTGCGGTGTTCTTGGATCCTGCACTGCCACAGAAATTTGAAGCCTATTCATTAAGTAAGCCATGTAATGAAAATGGGACTATACTTGTGCTTTTTATTTTGTTGTAAGGAGATGCTCACACTAGCAGTCTTACTAATTTGGATGAGAAAATAATGCTTACAGTGTGCTTGAAACATTAGAAAATGGTATTATAATAATAATAATAATAATAATAATAATAATTTTATTATTTATACCCCGCCCATCTGGCTCAGTTGCCCCAGCCACTTTCCCTTAGCTTAATATATGTCCTTTTTAAAAAAAATAATAATATTTATTGCTTTTATACCTTACAAAAAGAAAAAAGAGAAAAGAAGAAAGAAAAGAAGAGAAAAAAAGCAAAAAGCAAAAGAGAAAACAATACAATACAATATATAAACAATACAAAATGCAACGTTAACATTAACACATTAACAAAACAAAAGCAAAAACAATTCAAAAAACACACATCATACCATCTCAATATCCTCTCTTTCATTCCCTTGTTTCATCGACCTCTTCTCACCTCCCTTTTTGTATTCCATTTCTATTGATTGTTTCAGCAAATCCTTTCCATCTTTCTCTATTTTCTGTCATGTAATTATCTTAACATATTTTAACCTTGTTTTCCATTAATACTATAATACTTATTTATACTTAATTACTTAAAATATTTCTACTAAAGCCATATAATTCCTTTCCAACATTTTTCTAACACTCATTAATTTTACATTATTTCCATGTATAGGTTTTAAACTTTTTCCAATATTCTTCCACCGTCTCTTCTCCCTGGTCTCGGGTTCTGCCAGTCATTTCCGTCAATTCCATATAGCCCATCAACCTGGTGATCTTCTGTCCAAGGCTCTTAATTCTTTCCCAGGTCCCTTCTGCAGGTCTTCTTCATATTTATACATGCACTTTACTTTGTCTTCTCCTGATCTTGTTCTTATTTTCCTTCCTTTGACGCTGAAAAGTAGATCTCCGGGGATTCCCATCTAGCAATGTTTTTATTCCTTCTCAGCAAGTCAACCAAATCTCCATAATTAAAACTGAAATTCAAAAGATATTTCCAATCGTGTTCCAAAGTTCCTCCGAGTCTGGCAGTCCCCACAACTCCAGTCTCCTTCTGACCCAAATCCAGGTCCCAGAGGTCAATCTCCAGTCCAAGCGGGGCTCCAATCCTAGAAGTCTGACTTTCTCTAAATTCAGTCTTGGAAGACATCAACTTATAATCATCCAATTGCAACTGTAAGGCTGGAGTTCTCTGCCTCACTACTTGTGCCACTTTAGGTTCCATAGCGAGAACTTTCTCCCCCGCCTTCTCCTCAATTTGCCATGTCAGAATAGATCCCTGTATTGATTCCTGAGTAATTTCTGTATTAATATTGACTTTTTGTGCCAAATTAGTCACTTTTTGTTCCAAGTTATCAATTTTTATAGTCCTCGCATCTGTCTTCTTGAAAAGCTGTTCCAGTGAGTCGTTAATCTTGCAAAATGCAACCACTAAGGCTTCTTCTGTCAACATTCTTAACGAGTCAAGGTCAAATCCAATTTCTCACAGTTTTATCCTGCTGATGGAAAATTCCCCCAGCTCAGCTCTTGTAACAATTTCAAAGGCTTCCTCTAGAGGGAAACAGTTTCTATTTGTATCAATCCTTTTAAGCACAGGTCAAACAATAAAGTTAGTTTCAATTTTCAGTTACTTTTACTCCTTTTTAAGCGCAGAAAGAGACAGTGGAGACAAGATATTTCCCTTCTTTAACTTACTGTCCCCAGACAATCTATTCACAGTTAATGAGCATATCCAAAACTTCAATGCTTACTAGCAGCCCATTTCCAGGTTCAGAGCAGTGGTGATTTGACTTTCTTCACTCTCTCCTGCAGGCTTACACGATCTTAAATCTCCCCCCTCTTCTCCTGCTTCCAAGGGGGGTTTAGTGATTTAACCAATGGAAGTTTAATCCTTTATGAGAGACTTTCCAAGGCTTTAGCTTGCAGCCTCTTTGCTTCAATCTATTTACAAAAGGGGGAGGCGGACTTCCTGCTTGAAACCTCCCGTTTCGGTGCCAAATTAAGACGTTTAAAAATCCAATTTTCCGTTCTACTCATGGGTTGTTGTTTTGAGATCAAATTGTCCACAGGAAAAAGTCAGCGCTCTCCTGCAACAGCAATGTGGCTTCACTCCGTGAAAGAAGCAGTCGATTCAAAGCACCGCGCCACTCACCCCACCTCGCTCCGGATCCCCGAAACCGGGTTACCCCGCGAGTAGGGGAGGCGCAAAAGGTGCCAGCCGAATCCCACGTCCACAAGCCTCTCCCGCCTGTGGTTTTTGATGGGTCTCCGCCTCGCCGTGGCGGCCAGACCCTAATTTCCACGGAGTGGATTCCTCCCGATCAGAGGAAATCCGCCATTGCTGGAGGCGCTAACCCGGAAGTCTAGGTTGCTCAGAGATACCTCAAATTGTTTTGTGGTCCAACATCCATTCATTGCATTAACAGATACAGTACAAGTAAACGCCATTGGGAATGGAACATCTTGTTGCCTTCAAATATTAAGCCAGCACAGAAAAAATATAATTGCCATTTCAATTCTTATTTGATGTTCACAGGAGACTCTCAGTTGGGGCAAATCAGGTGGGGTAGAAAATATTCCAAGTGCTTTATTCTTCCAGGGGGAAAAATCCATTTCATTTTTAACATTTTTAAAGCTTTTTGTTTTGTTAGCTTTGTTTATTAAATGCAAATAAAATAAACATGCTAAATTAGATCCCTCTCTAGGGCAGGGCGCTCCAACTTTTCATACCAAGTGGGCCGCCAGAGTACTTCAACGGACTCCACAGGCCACGCATTACCTTGTCACATGGAGAGGGGGGAAGCGAGGCTGAAATCTGACACGAACACCCAGCCCTTGTGCTGCCTTCCCCAAGCCGCCTAAGCAAGGTGCCCGGCTTTGGGAAGGAGGAAGGAGGTCTCTAGGACTCTGCCAATGCCTCATGCCTCCTTCCCAAAGCCCACCGTACACCTACCTGGTTTTCCAGTGTGAGGGCTTGGGGGGGGTGTCAAATGTTTCTGAGGGACACCGGAAAAGGCCTTGGGGGCTGCATGTTGGACCGCCCTGCTCTAGGACATAGGAAATAAATATGTATTTTTATTATTTATACCCCACCCACTCAATTTAAGTGGAAAAAATCCTGATGCAAAATATCCAAATTTGCATCAGAAATATTTCAAGAAATAATAATAATAAGAAGAAGCCTCCCTCACTGGTTGGGGCCACAGAGCACTAGCCAGTATTTTCACTCTGAACAGGAAGATATTCTGTTCATGTAATGGGAGTTGCCCCACAGCCCCTTGTTTCATCCTGAACAGTGGTGCTTATTCCCAGGCAAATGTGCCTAGGATTGCAACCTGAAGCAGGCAAGTGGCAGATCTGAGCGGGTCTAGGGCAGGCATAGGCAAACTCCAGCCCTCCAGATGTTTGGGACTACAATTCCCATCATCCCTGACCACTGGTTCTGTTAGCTAGGGATGACGGGAATTGGAGTCCCAAGCACTTGGAGGGCCAGAGTTTGCCTATGCCTGGTCTAGGGTGTCACATTCCCCTGAAGACAAAAGCAGCTTGCCTCCAGTTGGGCATACCTGTTTGCTTTGTAGTGGGACTGCCTGGATGCCCAGCTCACACGAAACAAGGCACTGTCTTCGATTTTAACTTGCAATCTGCTATTTGAAGAGACTGGTTTCTGACCATGACAAGCCTCTATTCCCTGCTTCTTAAAGTGGGTAACAGTTTACTTTGTGTCTTGTACTCTGGCTCAGTGGCAATAAGTATTATCATTTCAGTTTTATTTCTATGAGAAGTGAATTTTGGAAAGAAAAGAGAGGCCCCAAATTGTTCAGTTCAGCTTTCTTTTTTCCCTCCTGAAGCCTGTTTCAGGTTACCAGTGCAAAAGGAGCTATATTCCTTTGTGCAAATTAATTTTTGCACCTCTGCAAGGTGGTGCAAATGAGCTGAGCTACTCAAATGACTCCTTCAAGTTCCCTACAAAGCTTCCTCTGTGATCTTGATCAAGTGCTAAATGCCTTAGGCCCCAAATATCTGAGAGGCTGCCTTGTGCCCTGCAGACCCTCTCTTGCTCATTTCAGCAGAGGGGGCTCTCTTGGTAGTTCCAGCAGCCTCAGAGGTGCAGTGGGTGGCAACTTGGGAGAGAGCATTTTCTGGAACAGCCCCTGGGTTGTGAAATCTTTGTACAGTTTCTGTCATTTGCTGAAGAGTGGCATCTTTACACCTGAGAGAGAGATCTTTTCAGAACCCGCCACATTATTGTGGATGTAATTTGTTTTAAACTGTTGTTGTAAGCCACCCAGGGACCGTATGGTAATAAATAAAGTAATAATATAATAGGAAGAAGGTGACACTGTCTCAGCCTAAGCCTTAGCATAGGGATTTTCTCAGGATAAAGTGGGTCAGAAACTCTGTTTATCGGCTTGTCCTTGGAGGAAGCATGGGATAAAAATAAATATAATTAATAATAATTAGAATGTTCTGTAGCTGATAATTTTTTATTCAGCAGCTCAAAATTGTGTGCTCAAGTCTTAGCATGCTGAAAATTGCTTTGTCTTTATTCTTTTTAAACAAATGAACTAAATGGCCTGTTTCCATACTCCCTGCAGTGGAACAAAATAATGCACCCAAGAATTTATTTGCATGTTGTTGTTGTTTAGTCGTTTAGTCGTGTCCGACTCTTCGTGACCCCATGGACCAGAGCACGCCAGGCACTCCTGCCTTCCACTGCCTCCTGCAGTTTGGTCAAACTCATGCTGGTAGCTTCGAGAACACTGTCCCACCATCTCGTCCTCTGTTATCCCCTTCTCCTTGTGCCCTCCATCTTTCCCAGCATCAGGGCCTTTTCCAGGGAGTCTTCTCTTCTCATGAGGTGGCCAAAGTATTGGAGCCTCAGCTTCACAATCTGTCCTTCCAGTGAGCACTCAGGGCTGATTTCCTTCAGAATGGATAGGTTTGATCTTCTTGCAGTCCATGGGACTCTCAAGAGTCTCCTCCAGCACCAGAATTCAAAAGCATCAATTCTTCGGCAATCAGCCTTCTTTATGATCCAGCTCTCACTTCCATACATCATTACTGGGAAAACCATGGCTTTAACTATACGGACCTTTGTTGGTAAGGTGATGTCTCTGCTTTTTAAGATGCTGTCTAGGTTATCGCCTTACTCCCAAGAAGCAGGCGTCTTTTAATTTCGTGACTGCTGTCACCATCTGCTGTGATCATGGAGCCCAAGAAAGTAAAATCTCTCACTGCCTCCATTTCTTCCCCTTCTATTTGCCAGGAGGTGATGGGACCAGTGGCCATAATCTTCGTTTTTTTGATGTTGAGCTTCAGACCATATTTTGCGCTCTCCTCTTTCACCCTCATTAAAAGTTTCTTTAATTCCTCCTCACTTTCTGCCATCAAGGTTGTGTCATCTGCATATCTGAGGTTGTTGATATTTCTTCCGGCGATCTTAATTCCGGCTTGGGATTCATCCAGCCCAGCCTTTCGCATGATGAATTCTGCATATAAGTTAAATAAGCAGGGGGACAATATACAGCCTTGCCGTACTCCTTTCCCAATTTTGAACCAATCAGTTGTTCCATATCCAGTTCTAACTGTAGCTTCTTGTCCCACATAGAGATTTCTCAGGAGACAGGTGAGGTGATCAGGCACTCCCATTTCTTTAAGAACTTGCCATAGTTTGCTGTGGTCGACACAGTCAAAGGCTTTTGGATAGTCAATGAAGCAGAAGTAGATGTCTTTCTGGAACTCTCTAGCTTTCTCCATAATCCAGCACATGTTTGCAATTTGGTCTCTGGTTCCTCTACCTCTTCTAAATCCAGCTTGCACTTCTGGGAGTTCTCAGTCCACATACTGGTTGAGCCTATCTTGTAGAATTTTAAGCATAACCTTGCTAGCGTGTGAAATGAGTGCAATTGTGCGGTAGTTGGAGCATTCTTTGGCACTGCCCTTCTTTTTGATTGGGATGTAGACTGATCTTCTCCAATCCTCTGGCCACTGCTGAGTTTTCCAAATTTGCTGGCATATTGAGTGTAGCACCTTAACAGCATCATCTTTTAAAATTTTAAATAGTTCAGCTGGAATACCCTCACTTCCACTGGCCTTGTTATTAGCAATGCTTTCTAACGCCCATTTGACTTCACTCTCCAGGATGTCTGGCTCAAGGTCAGCAACCACACTACCTGGGGTATACGAGACATCCATTTCTTTCTGGTATAGTTCCTCTGTGTATTCTTGCCACCTCTTCTTGATGTCTTCTGCTTCTGTTAGGTCCTTACCACTTTTGTCCTTTATTATGGCAATCTTGAACGAAATGTTCCTTTAATATCTCCAATTTTCTTGAACAGATCTCTGGTTCTTCCCATTCTCTTGTTTTCCTCTATTTCTTTGCATTGTTCGTTTAAGAAGGCCTTCTTATCTCTCCTTGCTATTTTTTGGAAATCTGCATTCAATTTCCTGTATCTTTCTCTATCTCCCTCGCATTTTGCTTGCCTTCTCTCCCCCGCTATTTGTAAGGCCTCATTGGTCACCCACTTTGCTTTCTTGCGTTTCCTTTTCATTGGGATGGTTTTCGTTGCTGTCTCCTGTATAATGTTGCGAGCCTCCATCCATAGTTCTTCAGGCACTCTGTCCACCAAATCTAAATCCTTAAACTTGTTCCTCACTTCCACTGTATATTCATAAGGGATTTGACTTAGATTGTATCTTACCGGCGGTAAGTGGTTTTTCCTACTTTCTTCAGTTTAAGCTTGAATTTTGCTATAAGAAGCTGATGATCTGAGCCACAGTCAGCTCCAGGTCTTGTTTTTGCTGACTCTATAGAGCTTCTCCATCTTTGGCTGCAGAGAATGTAATCAATCTGATTTCGATGCTGCCCATCTGGTGATGTCCATGTGTAGAGTCGTCTCTTGTGTTGTTGGAAAAGCGTGTTTGTGATGACCAGCTTATTCTCTTGGCAGAACTCTATTAGCCTTTGCCCTGCTTCTTTTTTGTTTTTTTTTAAAGAATATTTATTCCAGTTTTAAAGTTACAAAAAATATAGAAAAAACAAACCACACACATCTTACAAAAAACAGACAGTAAAAAGAAATAAGAAAAAACAAAAATCACAGTAAAAATAACAAAAATCAAATTAGACCTTTACAACCTTTTTCCCTTTTACTTATTTCCATGACTTCCTCTCACCTCCCTGCTTTGTATTCTAGTTTAAATCGTATCTCCAGCAAATCCTTCTAACCTTCTTTTCTTTTACTTATTTTAACATTCGAAAGTATTTAATTCTCCTCTATCCTCATTTTACACTTCATATTTACTTATTCCATTATACCATGTCTGCCAATACGGTCTAATATTCTTTTCCACCCTTTTTCTAACATTCTTTTATATTACAGTGTTTCTGAAGATATATTTTAAATTTTTCCAGTCTTCTTCCATCAACCCTTCTTCCTGATCTCGAATTCTGCCGGTCATCTCAGCCAGTTCCATATAGTCCATCACTTTCCTCTGCCATTCTTCTCGGGTAGGCAATTCTTGTGTCTTCCAATATTTCCCAATAAGTATTCTTGCCGCTGCTGTCGCATACATAAAAAATTCCTATCTTCCCTTCGCACCAATTGGCCGACCATGCCCAAGAGGAAGGCCTCTGGTTTCTTCACAAAAGTGTATTTCAATACCTTTTTTAGTTCATTATATATCATTTCCCAGAAGGCCTTGATCTTTGGGCACGTCCACCAAAGGTGGAAAAAGGTTCCTTCATTTTCTTTGCATTTCCAACATTTATTATCGGGCAAATGATAAATTTTGGCTAGCTTGACTGGGGTTAAGTACCACCTATAAATCATTTTCATTATATTTTCTCTTAATGCATTGCAAGCCGTAAACTTCATACCTGTGGTCCATAACCGTTCCCAGTCAGCAAACATAATATTATGCCCAACATCTTGTGCCCATTTAATCATAGCAGACTTAACCATTTCATCCTGTGTATTCCATTTCAACAGCAGGTTATACATTCTTGACAAATTTTTAGTTTTAGGCTCTAACAATTCCGTTTCCAGTTTGGATTTTTCCTCCTGGAAACCAATCTTTTTATCTAGGTTAAAAACCTCCCTTATTTGATAATAGTGAAGCCAATCTCGGACTTTAGTTTTTAATTTGTCAAAACTCTGCAGTTTTAGTTTATCTCCAACTTGTTCTAAAATTTCACAATATTTTGGCCAATTTGTCTCCATATTAGTTTTTTTCAATGCCTTTGCCTCCATTGGTGACAGCCACCTTGGTGTTTTACTTTCCAACAAATCCTTATATCTCACCCAAACATTAAACAATGCTTTCCTGACAATATGATTCTTAAAGGCCTTATGCGCTTTAACTTTGTCATACCATAAATATGCATGCCATCCAAACACGTTATCAAAACCTTCTAGATCCAAAATGTCCACGTTTTCAAGAAGTAGCCAATCTTTCAGCCAGCAAAAAGCGGCTGATTCATAATAAAGTTTAAGATCTGGCAGGGCAATCCCCCTCTTTCCTTCGCATCTGTTAATATCTTAAATTTTATTCTAGGCTTTTTGCCCTGCCAGATAAATTTGAAAATATCTCTTTGCCACCTCTTGAAACAGTCCATTTTATCCACAATTTGCAATGTTTGAAACAAAAACAACATTCTAGGCAATACATTCATCTTTATCGCAGCAATTCGGCCCAACAATGATAATTTCAATTTTGACCATGTTTCTAAATCCTTCTTCACTTCTGACCAACATTTTTCATAATTATCTTTAAACAAATTCACATTTTTAGCAGTCATATTCACCCCTAGATATTTCACTTTGTTAACTATTGTTAATCCTGTCTCTTTCTGAAACCTCTCCTTCTCAATCTCTGTAAGATTTTTCTCTAATACCTTTGTTTTCGTCTTGTTTAATTTGAAACCTGCTACTTGACCAAATTCTTGGATTAATTGTAATACTCTTTTTGTACTGGCTTCTGGCTCCTGTAATGTCAAAACTAAATCGTCAGCAAAAGCTTTCAATTTGTACTGTTTAGCTCCGAGTTGTATACCTTTAACCAATTGGTCTTTTCTAATCATATTGAGCAAAACCTCCAGGACCGATATAAAAAGCAATGGGGAGATTGGGCAACCCTGTCTTGTTCCTTTCTCTATCTTAAATTCTTCTGTAACTACGTTGTTCACAATAAGCTTAGCTTTTTGTTCCGAATAAATTGCACCTATACCATTTTCAAAACTTTGGCCTACCCCCATCCCCTGCAAATTTTTCTTCATAAAACTCCAAGAAATGTTGTCAAATGCTTTCTCTGCATCTACAAATATTAAGACAGCTTTAGTATTGATATTAACTTGCAATTTTTCCAAAATATTGATAATATTCCTAGTATTATCTGACAGATGTCTCCCAGGGAGAAAGCCCGCCTGATCTTTATGAATCTCTTTTACCAATACATTTTTTAATCTTTTAGCCATAATTTCCGCAAAAATTTTGTAATCCACATTGAGTAGGGATATGGGACGGTAGTTCTTCAACTGTGTCTTCTCCACTTCGGTTTTTGGTATAAGTGTAATGTATGCTTCTTTCCACGACTCGGGTGCTTTTCCTCCCGTAGTATTTCATTGCAAAGTTCTTTCAGCGGTTGCAATAACCATTCTTTCAAAGATTTGTAGTACTTTGCAGTTAGTCCATCCGGTCCTGGAGATTTGCCCAATTTCATATTCTGAATGGCTCCTTCCACCTCTTGATCAGATATTGTAGAATTTAATATTGATTTACTCTCTTGAGATACTTTTTGTAATCCATTATTTTTCAAAAATCGATCAATGTCTAATTCTTTCTGAGTCTCCTGCGTATATAACTGTTTAAAATAGTTCTGAAAGCACTTCCGAATCTCTCCAGGATTCTGTATGTTCTTCCCTTCTACTACCAAGTTCGTAATCGTATTCAGCTTTTGTCTTTTTTTCATTTGCCAGGCCAGTAATTTCCCACATTTATTTGCCGATTCGAAGGTCTTTTGTTTCATCTGTTTGACCTTCCATTCTATCTCCTGGTTCATCAATTTCATATATTGTACTTGGTATAGCTTTATCTCTTTTAGAATCTCCTGTGAGTTCGGTTTCGCCCTCAGTCTTTTTCTCCATCCTTAATTTTCTCCAAAATTTTTCTCTCTTCTCATTTTGATATCTTTTCCTAATTGCGTTTTGTTGTATCAAAATCCTCTCATCACCGCTTTGCTGGCATCCCAAATCACTCTTTTTTCTGTCGTGGTATTCAAATTTATCTCAAAATAGTCTCTCAAATTCTTCTGAGCCTTTTTAATAATTTCCTCATTCCTAAATAAGGAGTCATTCATCCTCCATCTAAAAGCTCCAATTGGCATTGATATCATTTCAATCTTTACTGGATTGTGATCAGAGCAAATTTTCGGGCAAATCACCGCTTTTTTTTATCTTAGGGGCCAGTCCTCTAGTTATCCAGATTTGGTCTATTCTTGTCCATGTCATATTTGCTTCAGAGAAGAAGGTTCCTTCTCTTTCCAAGGGGTTCTTTATTCGCCAAATATCCACAAGATCCATATTGTCAGTCATTTCAAAAATGTCCTTGGTAGTCTTCCATCTTTTGTCACTGTTTGTCTTTGGGCTTTATCCATATTTGTAGACACTACTCCATTCATATCTCCCATCAAAATAATGTTGTAATCCAAATAATCCAGGAGAGTTTCATGCAATTTCTTAAAGAATTCTGATTTTCCCTCATTTGGTGCATATACACCTATTATCAAAAATTTCTGTCCTTGGAACTGAATTTCAATTGCTATATATCTTCCTTGATCATCTTTAAATATAAATTTTGGTGACAGGCTTTCCTTCGCATAAAGTACTACCCCTCTTTTTTCACATTGTCCGATGAAATAAATTCTTCTCCCAATCTTTTATTTATCAAAATTTTCCGATGTAGCCTTGTCACATGGGTCTCTTGTAAACAAATCAAGTCCAAATGTTCTTTTTTCAATGTATGGAATACTCTCCCCCTTTTTGCCGACGAATTTAGACCGTTAATATTCCAGCTTAAAACTTGTAGTGTCATTTTGTAGTTACTCTCCTTCTCCTCCAACAGCCCCAAGAAGATTGTCTATGTCTGTCGGTGGCGTTGGTTTCACTTTTTTTTGCAGACTCTTATCCGGTATCGCAGTGTCTTTTCCCAATCCTTTCTGTAGATCTTCTTCGTATGCACTCAAAAACTTGTTCTTTTCCTCCACTGATCTAATCTTGGTCTTTCTTCCTTTAAAACTAAAGGATAGACCTTGGGGGAATTCCCACCTGAAAAGGATTTTATTTTTTCTCAATAGGGCCACCAAGTCTCCAAAATCCTGTCTTAAGTCAAGAAGATGTTTTGGTATATCTTTAAAGATTTCCACTTTTGATTGTATGATTGTCAAGGGTTTTTCGTAATGCAGGCCCAAAATTTTGTCCCTTTCTTCTTTGGATCGGAGGGTGATCAAACAGTCCCTTATTTTAATCTTTCTTCCTCCTTTCCCCAGTCGAAAGGCCCTCACAATCTTAAAATCCTCTTGTTTCAATTCCGATTTCCAAAATTCCAGAAATTCTTGTGTCAAAAAGTCTATCAAGGTGCCTTTCTCCAACTCAGGAACAGCTCTAATTCTAAGATTCGTTTGTTTGTCTCTAAGATCAATCATAGACAACGTTAACTTATGTTCTGCAATCTCTTTCTGCAGGTCTGGTACCTTTTCAGTTTCCAATTGCCCCAATTTAAATTCTACAGCAGCAGTCTTTTCCTGTATAGACTTTGAGTCTTGCAGTAATCTCTGAATAGATTCCGTGTTACTGTTTACCTTTTTCTCCAAATTGTCTAATGTTTCTGTGTTTAAATCAATTTTTCTATTAGCAATGTCCACTTTCTGGTTCGTTTCTTCCACTTTCCTATTCGTCTCCCCCACCCTTGTACTAAGTTGCTGTATAGATTCATTAATCTTAGCCAGAGCACTGGCTAAAATTTCCTCAGACATTCCACCAGACTTAGATTGTGTTGCCGATGCAGGCAAACCAGCAGATGATTGCCTTCTGTGTACCCAAGGTTTCCCTGATCTCAAGACTGACTGGTCTTTTTGGCCATCAGCCATAACAAAGTGAAGGTGAAGTTCCTTTCCCACGTCTGCTGTTCCTGTTTACAAGTGGAAAATTCCTTTCCTGTAGTTTCAGGGAGTCCCACTAGGTGGACACTGTTGCCACCTAACCAGTTACTGTCCTTCTAAAATAACAGGAAAGAGAAACTAAGTAGAAAGACAAAGGTGGAGGACACAATGTAACTTTCCAATTCTTTTCCCCAACGAAATTGGCCACAATATATCTTCTTTACAGCCAACAAGCAGCTCTGACAGCTTTGACAGCTGAGACGTCTCACTGACAGATCACTCTTTAAATCTTTAAATCTTTAAGCAGTCCGGTAGAGTCAAAAGCCTTTCCCTTGTCCCTCCGAAAGGTAGATTCCGCCAAAGTTCTCAGGTCAGAAAGAAAACACTTATTTCAGTTCAATTTTCCCACGTTTAGCTCCAAATCTCTATGCTTTATTCCAAATACAATGCAGGGAAGCGGACTTCCTGTTTGCACTTCCACCGCGGTAGCCAATTCAGACGTTTTTTTGCAGCTTAAGACTTTTCCGCTTTTACCCAGATAGTCCAATTAGTCCAATTAGTGCTCTTTTAATCCAATTCCTTTACTCACGGTTAAAATTTCAGTCCAAATGTTCCAGGAATAAGTCAGCGCTCTCCAGCAACGGCAACACGGCTTCGCTCAGTGGAAGCAGCGATCCGCTCGCAGCACCGCGCTTCTCCCCCGCTCCCTTCCGAAGCCTCAAAAAAAGGCTTCCTTTTGGGTTGGGGGGGCGCTCCAAGGTGCCCACCGAGCCTCCACGTTCGCAGGCGTCCGCGCCTGCGATTTCTAAGGGTCCCCGCTTCGCCGGAGCGCACAGGACCCGATCTCCCGCTGAGCTACCCCCTCCGAAATCAGAGGAGGTCAGCCATTGCTGCTGGCGCTAACCGGAAGTCTGCCCTGCTTCGTTTTGAACTCCAAGGCCAAACTTGCCAGTTGTTCCTTTTATCTCTTGATTTTATTTGCATATAAGCTAGTAAATTTGTATGACAAATAAATGAAACAAATTGCAAGCAATATTCTGTATATGCCTGTAACACTGAATGAAAAAGGATCCTCCTTAGTGTTGGTAACAACATTAAGCATATTTGCCGTTTAAGTCAGTGAGACTTCCAATATCAGAATTGTGGCTGGCTGTCTGATTTCAGTGGTAACAGTCTTGCAAAGGACTGACACTTCTGCACTTAAAGACATACTTTGCATAGAAATTTAAATGAATATGATAGACCTGAATGACAGTCAGAAGGGCATCTCCAGATGATCAAAGTGACCAGGCTGGTGTATGAGGGACAAGGTCATGGGCACATTAGAGTTTTATATACTCCACCAGTCATACCTTGCACTGAGCCTGGTCCTAGCAGTCACCGCAGGGCTTTCTGGAGTGGCTGCAGCCAAAAGCCAGGCTGCTGCATTCTGCACTAGCTGCGGTTTTGGAACCAACCTCCAGGGCAGCCCTGCAGAGAGATCATCACAGCAGTCCAGTCTGGAGGTTACTATGGGCCTGCGCCACTGTGGCTATGCTACCTCTGTCCAGGGATGGCCATGATGTGTGTTCCAGCCAAAGCTGGAAGAAGGCATTCTTGGCCAGGGGGTCTCCAGTGACCAGGATCTGAGAGGAGCCCAAATTACGTACCTGCTGCTTCCAGGAGAGGGCAACTCTGTCAAGAGCAGGCAACTTGCCAACCTCCTGAATTTGGGAACACATCACCAAAAAGTTAGCATTGACTTAAAGATCAATGCTTTATTTATTGGTCTAATTTACATCCAATTATATCCATTCTTCCTTGGCAGCAGGTTCCATTGAATTCAGAGCGGGCTATGCCTAAACATACTTTCCTAGGAGTAGGCCCCATTGAATTCTGTGGGATGTACTTCTGAGTCAACATATGAAGGAATGAGATACTAATTGCATAATAGGAGTTTTTCAAGGCTGAGTCTTTCAATTCTGGTAATCTAAGAACTAGACAGGCAGGAAGAAAAGAAGAGCCTGGCAAATCAGGAAGTGTAGAATGAACAACGGGCATACTTTAACAAGCATCAAAAGAAATGAAGGAAATAGTTATCTAATTATCTTTTTACATGTCTTTTTTGTTTTTAAGAGATGAAATTGGATTAATTCCCTGTCCTGAAGCCAGATATAACCGGAGCCCTATAGTTCTGGTGGAAAACAAACTTGGGGTGGAAAGCTGGTGTGTCAAGTTTCTTTTGCCCTACGTCCATAACAAACTCCTTCACTACAGACAAAGAAAGCAATGGCTCAACAAAGAAGGTGAGTAATTCCATAAAATGTGTATTGTATGGTGCCCATCATTATTAACTTTCTATACAATTGTAAAGGGAGCCAGAACAAGTAGAGGAACTGTTGAAGTTGCATCTTGAGTGTTGATTTTGTGCAAGCATTTTAAATAAGGTGGGGCTCCTAGAGTGATGTTCCCACAACACGGTAGGACACAGAGGAGCAAAGTGACTGAGCTCCTCCCCTTGTAAGCCATAGCTGGACTTACTGTGTCATTGTGGATCATTCTTCACCATGTAGAGTAGAAAGGTAGCCTATTGTCTGCTATATGCAAAGCAAAGAAACTTACCAGTGCAATGCAATGAAATCCTAACTGTGCCTATTCAGCTGTAAGTCCTGTTGAATTTAGTGGGACTTACTTCCAGGTAAGTGGAGTTAGGACAGAAGCTTTAATAATAAAGTTTTAAAAATATGTATGGACTTTCTGGAACAGAAATATTTAGAGGGCTTGACACCTAAGAACTGGAAATATTTTTTATTTCCATGAATTGCTGGCTATCATGAAGGTCAACAAGTCAATTGAGCTTCATTAAAATGTGAACTTTTGCAGTTGCCATTAGTAACAGATTGAGCAAAATCAATCTCAGTAGCCTGAAGACAGATACAGACTTGAATTCCAACTAGTCCTCTGCAACAGCTCCTTCTGGTCATGGTGGGAACTGGAATTCAGGCACGTGGCAGCATTTTTTGCCTACTTTCCCTTTTTGCTGCTGCATCCTGTTCTGCCTCTCATTCTGCTCTGGAGTCTGGAGGTTGCCCAATCCTCAAGCAAAGGGGAGATGAGTGAAAGTCATCTCCTCATTTCCATTCACAGGATCTAAGTGCTTTGGTCCTTATCACCATCTGTAAACCCCTCTTGACAATGTGGCAGTTAGGCTACCATGTCTATCAACTGACTAAATGGATGCTTCTATAAACTGCTTTGAGGTTTGAGCAGTATATAACTTGTATGAAATAATAAATAAAGACACATTTGCAGAGGAAAACTGCATTCTCTGTTAGTACCATACTGTCAACACATTAGTGTCAGAAAAAGCAGGAATCATGTAGTGCAGACCACAATCAACCTCCTCCTCCTCCTCATTTTTAATTTGTATACCGCCTTTCTATCTTACAATACTCAAGGCGGTTTACAAGCTGAAGAAACAAAAAATGTACATCTTATAACAATCTTAATGCAATACAAAAATGTGATAATAAAACATAACTTTAAAATAAACAACCTCCATCAAAAAAGTCACAACAATCATTAGAATAGTATAAAATAATAATATCAACATATAAAAGTCAAACAGAAATCCACTCAACAGTTACAATAATATCTAAACTATAATCAATAAAACAACGGCAAGCCACAGTACATAAAACAATACAATACACATTGAGAAGCAAAGGGTAGAGCCAGGCAGGTGGAAAGAGGCCTTGCCTGATGGAGTCCCTCCCCTCACAGTTCTTCCTCCAGGAACAGCTCCCTTAGGAGGACTCCTAGGGCCGGAGGGTGGGGCAAGGCAGGTGGGAGGAGGCCTGTTCAATAAACACCTCAAACTCACTTCCACAGAGCTCTGATGTGGGGTTGGCGAAAGGGGAGTGTGTCTGCTGCTGTTGGAAGGAGAAAAAAAATGCCTGTATTGGGGGATGAAGGGGTGTGCTTCTGTCCTTTGCAACCCCCTTATGCTGCTGACACGGCTGCTGCTATGAGAAGAAGAAGAAAAGTCCTGAATTTTAAAATACAAACATTTTCCTGTCCTTTCTAGAGCAGCTGTGGCAGCAGAATTGGAAGGGAGAATGGACAAGGTGAGACTTTGTCCCCTTTGTTCCCCTTCCTCCCCTCCGCCCCCCGCCCTGCACCAAAGGTTTAATGGGGCTTGGCCTGTCTTGCCTGGTCCTCTGTGGGTCACTAGCTGTGCCTGTACTGCTCACTTGCTCTGCTGGGCTTTTATCCATTTCTCCAGTCACACAATCAATCAATCAATCAGTAGCTGAACTGGGATCCGCACAGTCACAAAAACAAATTAACCGAAAAAGCCTCAATAATTAGGAGACAGCCAACCCAAAGGTACAAAAATGAATGGGAAATTTATAAAGAATATTTAATTAAACATTGTCCACAAGTGAAAATCTGGACATGTTTTGACTAAACTCCGCAAACTGCAAGTTAGATTAAGAATAATGAGATAAAATAGAAGAAAGAAATTGAGATAAGGAATACTGAAGCAGTGATAATAAAAAGGGGGGAAAGGATGAACCCTCACCTCAATGAAGAAGTTGGAATTCATATGGAGGAATTAAGAATTTGTGAATTAAGAAAAAGACTTAAACAACAACATTCCTCTCTTAGGAATTTAAGGATTTGTATATTTTGGTTTATTTGGAAATTTGTTATTTCTTTTGTGTTTTATTTGGAATGTATAATTTGTGTCATGTTGGAAATTCAATGAAAAGCATAAAAAAGGGGGGAACAAAAAAACAAAAACGCAAAATAGCAAAAACAAAAGCGCCAAACTTAATCCGTTCTGGAAGTCTGTTTAACTTCTGAAATGTTTGAAAACAAAGGCGCAGCTTCTGATTGGTGCAGGCACCCTGGAAGCAATAGTTGACAACTGCATCAGACATTTGGCTTCCAAAAAATGTTCGAAAACAGGAACACTTGCTTCAGGGTTTTTGGCATTTGGGAACCAAAGCATTTGAGGACCAAGGTACCACTGTATTGATAACATACTACTTTTGTTTTGATTGCAATCATCTTCATGCTTTCCCATTGCCTGTGGATTTATCTAACTGAAACAACACTTCATAGAAATTGGTCCCATTGATTCACCAAACTAAGATTTACAAGGAGATGGATTAACAGAACAGGGATTTCTAAATGTGCACCTTCCCAATCATTTTAGAGCTCTAACAACTCTAGGAAAATGGGAAATGTCACTTCGGATCAGACATTTGTTATTGGAGAAACAGCATGTTGAAGCTGTGGGATGTCTTTGGGAAAAGAGTAAGGATGCATTTTACTGGTCTTTAAAAATTTGACATTATTTCCTGATATTTCTAAACATCCTGCTGTGTGTTTGTTAAACTAACTAGTCAGATTAATCTCTCATAGGGTTTCATTTTTGCTTTTCGAGTTACAGTCGTACCTTGGATCTCAAATGCCTTGGCTCCCGAACAAATCGGTTCCCGAACGATCAAAACCTGGAAGTGAGTGTTCCAGTTTTCAAATGATTTTCGGAAGCCGAACATCCAGCACGAGTGTCTTGCAGCCAATCGGAAGCCGCGCCTTGGTTTTCGAACAGTTCCGGGAGTCGAATGGACTCCCAGAACACATTCTGTTCGAGAACCAAGGTATGAGTGTATTTATATCCTGCTTTTAGCAGACTCCTATCCAAAGGACTGGTCAATCCACAGCTGGTTAGCTTAAGCGATGTCATAGCATCAGATGTGCCTAAACCACCATAAGGTTTCATTTTTAAAAAGGCCCATTACTGAATAACCTAAAATTTTACATTATTGTGTACATCTGTCAGGGATGATTTGTGGGTGCTAGCCGAGATAACAACCCGGGATTCCAGCCAGCTTTTACAAGATTTATTAAGTCCAAAAACTATGTACAGTACAGAGCTCTTAAAAGCATGTCTTCCTCAGTCGCTATCAGTTGCCGGAAGTGGCTCCTGCCTCTTCCCTTTCCAGCATAGAAACTTCCTGAGCCCCCCCCTTCCCCCTCTCCCTACGTAAAGACCGAAGTGTCGGAGGCTGTTCCTTTCCCTCCGTTTCCTGACAGCCCCTCCTCCTTTTCTCTCTGACGAAGTGAGGCTGCTCATTAAAGGAGGCGGCTCCCGGTACATTCCGATCTCTCCCCCCTTCTCAGCCAACAGATCCCTGACACATCTGCTAGCAGAAATTACGCTGCAAATATGGATAAAATATGCATATTTTGTTCGAATTCCCACCCACCCTATCCTGGAGTCTTAAACTGGGTTACAGCATTCTAAACCCAAGTATATTAAAATCTCTTGAAAAATATAAGATTGCAGAATACATTTCCTTCAAAAGAGACAAAAAACTTTTGATTCCTGAGTATGCTAAAGCTCAGCAAATAACAGCTCAGCAAGATTAAAATATTGTTTCTTGCCATCTGTTACGCTACTGTCTAGATTTAAACTTATGTGCTATAACCAGTTTGTTAAAGGGTTTAAGATGACAAAAATATGTTAGCACACTATACAAAATTATAGCCTTATGTGCACCAAGGTTCATAATTCTCTTAGATCTAGGCAACATTTCATACACTCTAATTGGATAATTCCTGTTGCTTTTCTACATTCTGGCTTTTTATTATTGAAAGTGTTAACTGCATTAACTTCCCTTGGAGACCTCTTTCTAATTTGTTGCTGTACTGTGGTCTCATCGATTGACCTGGTTTTGAGTTAAATAAACCAACCGCTATATAGGAGAAGTAATAGATAGTTCTGGCACAGTCCTCTGCTGGGTATCTGGTAATTAATTATACTTCTGGCAGAATCCCACAACAAGTAAGGACATTCTAATCCACAACAGATAATAGATAGGTGCTGAATTTCTTCCCACCTAGGAGAGGGAGACTCACTGAGAGGGTCAGAAAAATACGTTTGGGATTAATCCTCTCATTAATCTTTCTTAGTACAATAGTTGCTTATAGCTCAACATTTGAATTGAAAACAAGTTTGAGGCAATCTAAATGTACCGTTTTTGATTCATCCTTTGTATTCCCAATTTTATATCTCCAGTCAGTAATGACTTAGGTTTGTGTAACACCAAACTCGGGTATTGTACACTACGGGAGTTCCCCTCTCCCTTCTGGTAGCTCACCGATAAGAATTAGCGAGCAACTGGTAGATTTATAGCCTTTTTATTACAGTATCATGTTGCAAACACATATTAGCATCTCTCTGCAAGGATAGACGTTGCTCTCTCAGGATCACACTTCAAAACGACCTTGACAGATTAGAGAACTGGGCCAAAACAAACAAGATGAATTTTAACAGGGAGAAATGTAAAGTATTGCACTTGGGCAAAAAAAAGGAGAGGCACAAATACAAGATGGGTGACACCTGGCTTGAGAGCAGTACATGTGAAAAGGATCTAGGAGTCTTGGTTGACCACAAACTTGACATGAGCCAACAGTGTGACGCGGCAGCTAAAAAGCCAATGCAATTCTGGGCCTCATCAATAGGAGTATAGCATCTAGATCAAGGGAAGTAATAGTGCCACTGTATTCTGCTCTGGTCAGACCTCACCTGGAGTACTGTGTCCAGTTCTGGGCACCACAGTTCAAGAAGGACACTGACAAACTGGAACGGGTCCAGAGGAGGGCAACCAAAATGGTCAAAGGCCTGGAAACGATGCCTTATGAGGAACGGCTAAGGGAGCTGGGCATGTTTAGCCTGGAGAAGAGGAGGTTAAGGGGTGATATGATAGCCATGTTCAAATATGTAAAAGGATGTCACATAGAGGAGGGAGAAAGGTTGTTTTCTGCTGCTCCAGAGAAGCGGACACGGAGCAATGGATCCAAACTACAAGAAAGAAGATTCCACCTAAACATTAGGAAGAACTTCCTGACAGTAAGAGCTGTTTGACAGTGGAATTTGCTGCCAAGGAGTGTGGTGGAGTCTCCTTCTTTGGAGGTCTTTAAGCAGAGGCTTGACAACCATATGTCAGGAGTGCTCTGATGGTGTTTCCTGCTTGGCAGGGGGTTGGACTCGATGGCCCTTGTGGTCTCTTCCAACTCTAGGATTCTATGATTCCTCCCCCCTCACTTCAGCTGCAAGAAGTGCGACAACGGATGTCTCTCCTCCCCTGCATCTCTGTTGTTCTCTGACATACCTCTGAGTTCGGGGGGGGAGGGGGTGCCCCCCACTCTCTAGTGATGTATCAGCCAGCTGCTCCCTCCCTTCTGGTTGCTTAGCAACTACCTCAAAGCTGGGTAGCTCTGGGTCTGCCTGTTTCTCTGCTTCTGGAAATGCTGAAAGCAAAGGGGGCGAATAGTCCCCCTTCTCTTCTGTTAGATGCTGATCTCCCTGCCTTTCCCAATCCTTGTCTTCAGAGTATTCTCTGACAGGTATTATGCATGTAAGTGTACTAAAATTTATTTCCCTTTTAATCCAGAGGGACTGGTGATAATATGATGCATATTTCAGACCATTTGCAAAAGTAGATGAAACTGGATTACAGGTGCTCCTCATAAGGGAAGCGGTGGCCAATTGTGTGAAAATGTTATATAGTTAGGAAATTATTCCTTTCCCACTGGGTTGGTAGGAAAAAAAGATTGTTCACAGTTGTTTAGGATGGGAAGTACCTGAAACTGAGCCTTAGGCTTGACTGTTACATATTTAGGGTAGTTATATTGAAGCTGGCAAAACCCTCAAAATCTTGCTTAGCCACCCAGTGAAGAAAAGTACATCAGCTCTTGCATTTTTGTTCTGCTTAAACTACCATTTCCCATAACCCCTGAATCTGTAAACCTATCTGAGTTCTTTAACAACTCTCACATCGTCACCCAGCAATTACAACAACATTACATTTAGGTAGGTAGTTGTGTTGGTCTGACGCAGTCAAAATAAAAATAAAAAATTGTCCAGTGGCACCTTATAGACCAACTACGTTTGTTCTGGTATAAGCTTTCGTGTGCATGCACGCTTCTTCAGATACCTGTTACATTGAGCTGCATGAAATGGAAGTCCATCAGTATCTGAAGAAGTGTGCATGCACACGAAAGCTTATACCAGAACAAACGTAGTTGGTCTATAAGGTGCTACTTAAGGGACATGGGTGGCGCTGTGGGTTAAACCACAGAGCCTAGGACTTGCCGATCAGAAGGTCGGCGGTTCAAATCCCCGCGACGGGGTGAGCTCCCGTTGCTCGGTCCCAGCTCCTGTCAACCTAGCAGTTCGAAAGCTGTCAAAGTGCAAGTAGATAAATAGGTACCGCTCCGGCGGGAAGGTAAACGGCGTTTCTGTGCGCTGCTCTGGTTCGCCAGAAGCGGCTTAGTCATGCTGGCCACATGACCCGGAAGCTGTACGCCGGCTCCCTCAGCCAATAAAGCGAGATGAGTGCCGCAACCCCAGAGTCGGTCACGACTGGACCTAATGGTCAGGGGTCCCTTTACCTTTACTAAGGTGCTACTGGACAATTTTTTATCATTACATTTATTTATTTACCAATTTGCACTTTGAAGATGAGAGGAGGTGACTGTACAATTCTTAAGTGTATTGCTGGGAAATTTATTATTTAGGATATTTCATACACTGGAGCTCAGTCAATGGATAAACTGAATGATTTGCTTTCTCTCTCACAAGTTCTGGATTATTCAGCAAAATTACCTACTTTCATCTCAGTTTCTGATCCATATGGCTGCCCCCACATCTCTTTGTTTTGCCTTGGTGTGAATTTATCTTATTTCTTATGCCAATGTGGGTTGTAACAGAGCTGCAGTTATAACTCAAATCACTCTTTCCCCCTGTTATTAACTCAAAAGGGCAGCATCACTATGTTAGCTAGAGTTCCTTTACTATAAAATAAAATATTTTTTCTTTCTTGCCCGTTCTGTGTTAAAGTATTTTTACTCTCTGCCGATGATAAGATAGATTCAGGTAGGTAGCCGTGTTGGTCTGACGCATTCGAAACAAATAAATAAAATGTATAAATTGTCCAGTAGCACCTTAAAGACCAACTTAGTTTGTTCTGGGTATAAGCTTTCGTCTGCATGCACACTTCTTCAGATACACTGAAACAGAAGTCACCAGACCCTTATATATATTGGGAGGGTGGGGGGGTGTTCTCAGAAGGGTAGTAGGAGATGGGTGATTGACTCAATGGGTATGGTAAACTTGTTGGACTGTTAACAACTGCCATGATAACATAGTCTTACTTTATTATTCTGCACAGTTAACCCACTTTTTCAGTTTTCCCTACAAAGCACATTGCCTGTCTTTCCTCTGCTTCTCATAGTGTACTCCACAGGAGCCAACTCCTAGGGGCCAAGATCCCTTCCCCCCCAAATATTTGAGGAGGCTCCCCCAAAGTTGATGGGCATTGCCACTCAAATGGTGTGCATGTGCCATGGCTTACCTGCTCCCTCCCCATATTTTATTCAAGTTGGCACCCTGGTGTACTCTGTCCTCTTGTTTCCTTTCCCAAAGCTCTTTCTGTAGCCTAATTTCTTCTCCCTCTTTTCTTCCATCCCTTGCTCTGCTCTCCCCTCCTCTTTTCAATCTTCTAGTTTTGCTCCGTTTCCGTACCACCATTCTTCATCCTCACCAAGACTTCATCTTCGCTGGACATTTAAAGCAGCACCAGCCACTTCAGAGTCCTGGGAACTGCCGTTTGTTCAGGGTGCTGAGAGTTGTTAGGAGGCTCCGTACCCCCCATAGAGCTCCAGTTCCCAGAGTTCCCGGTGAAAAAGGATTGACTGTTAAACCACTGTGGGAATTGTAGCTCTGTGAGGGAAAGAGGTGTCTCCTCATTACTCCTGGCACCTTTAACAAACCACAGTTCCCAGGACTCTTTGGGGAAGCCATGATAGTGCTTTAAAGGTATTCTGCAGATGGTGCCGGAGGTTCATAGCAGCAGCAGCAGCAGCAGCAGCACCACTAAAGGCTTTCTTCCTCCAGTTCTTCTCTTCTTTCAGGATTCATACAATGTGGGAGGGTTGGACTTGCAGCAGAGCTGGTTGCCCTGAACTGGGAAACTAGCACCCAATCTCCCCAGGCACCTCCACTTCCAAGGACAGAAGGAGAAATCTAAACTTAGTGCTGCGTGGGCATTTTCCCACTTGCGTTTGGGATTGGCTTTTGAGAGGCTATAGGCTCTCTTTTCATTTTAAATCAACATCATGGGGAAAACTCCAGTATTGCTTTTTGTGACATCCCTTTGGTAATGTGGGAAGCTCCAGGCTTTGTGGGGAAAGTGCTGCCATCCCCATGCTGGTGCTTAGATGCTGCTTGGACTACAACTTCTGTAAGCTCTGACCATTGGTCAAATTGACCTGGACTGATTGGAGTTGTAGTTCAAAACACCTGGAAAGTACCAAGTTAGGAAGGAAGAAACATGCCAGTATCACCCTTCCAAGTGTTAGGAATAAGAGTGCAGGAAAAAGTTGTGCCAGCATAATGTTAGATGAGGACTTTAGGTGTTCCTACAAACAGGTGGAAAAGATTGCCAAACAAGGAGTGTTTGAAATTTCCATGGGGACAACAAACAGTCACGATGGAGGCCAGAATCAGCCCGCAGGTTTTGTGTTGTGCAGTAGAGTAACAAAAAATAGTAATTGTCAACTGCAGTTCACTCTTCTGTAATTGCTACCATCTGCTGGCACATTTTTAGCAATCAACTAGCCCTCAAACCAAAATTGTTCAGTCTGGGAATGCTATTTGTTTTTCAGTGCAATTGCTTAAATGAATCAGTTTGCTTGAATTTTCTAAATAAGCACATGCCCCCTCCCCCCAAAAATTGAGAATTTGCAGTTGGGGAAGATGTGAGAGTGTTGGTGGGCTCATATGTAGCTAGCGAAGCTAAACAGGGAGTACCGTATTTTTCGCTCTATAGGACGCACCAGACGATAGGACGCATCTAGTTGGGGGGGGGGGGAAACAAGGGGGGGGGATTCTGAATCCCAGAAGCCAGAACAGCAAGAGGGATCTGGCTTCTGGGATAGCCTCTTGCTGTTCTGGCTTCTGGGACAGCCCACGAAGCCTCTGGAGGGCAACGGAATGAAGGCACCCCGCTGCCCTGCGGAGGCTTTGCGCAGCTAACCCCGAAGCCTTTGGAGTGCAGCGCGAGGTCCCGCTGCGCTCCAAAGGCTTCAGGCAGCTATCCCTGAAGCCTGGAGAGCGAGAGGGGTCGATGCACACCGACCCCTCTTGCTTTCCAGGCTACAGCGAAAGCAACGTGTAGCCTCCGGAACGTGGAGGGAGCGTTCCCTTTGCCCTTTGGAGGCTTCGTGTTGCTTTCGCTGAAGCCAAGGAGCCTGCATTCGCTCCGTAGGACGCACAAACATTTCCCCTTAATTTTTGTTTTTGTTTTTGTTTTAATTTCTCTTTATTAATTTTCATACACACATATACACACATATGTACAGAAAATAAATTCTTCACGGAAAAAAACAACAATAATAAGAACAACATAACTTAATTATAAGAAACAAAACAAAACAAAACAAAACAAAGACAAACATGTAAATTATTGACTTCCCTCCACCTCAGTTTTGGGTTATGTAATACATTTTTCCCCGCAGTTTTTCTTTAAAACTTTTGTATGTCGAAGGGTTATATTAAGCCTACTGTGATCTTTGGATTTTTAAATCTACTTCAATATAGGTTATGAATTTATTCCATTCTTTAATAAACTTTGTTTCTTTCTGGTCTCTAATTTTTTGTGTTAATTTTGCCAATTCTGAATATTCAAATAATTTACTTTGCCAATCTCTTACTGTTGGGATATTGATTGATTTCCAATTTGGGGCGATTAAAATTCTAGCAGCTGTTGTTGTGTACTGGAATAAGGTCTGGTCCTCTTTCTTAATTTCATTGCCAATCATTCCCAGAAGAAAATTTTCAGGTTTTTTAACAAAAGTATATTTAAACAATTTTTTTAGTTCATTATAAATGAGCTCCCAGAAGTTCTTGATTTTTTCACAAGTCCACCACATGTGGTAGAAACTACCTTCCTTGTTTTTACACCTCCAGCACATTTTATCTCCATTCTTATAGATTTTTCCTAATTTTACAGGTGTGATGTACCATCTGTACATCATTTTTTCCATGTTTTCTCTTAAGGCAACACAAGCAGTGAACTTCATATCTTTATTCCAGAGCTTAATCCAACTATCGTATTCCATCCCCTTAATTTTTGGAGGGGAAAAAGTGTGTCCTATAGAGCGAAAAATACGGTAGTTTTATCTATGTGTTATGTTTGTATCCTGTCTTCCCTTTGCTCAGGAGCTCAGAATGCTGTTTTAAGATTAGGGTAAACTGAACAATTTAGCACAGAAGCTTTGTAGTTTCATAGCAAAGTCAGGTATCAAAAGTTATTTTGGAAAGAAGTAGGGAGTATGACATCTTGTTTGCTAGCTGTAGCATGTGTTCTGAAGCTGCAAAATTTTGGCGCTGAAATGGAGAGAAGGATGCCAAGGTGCATGGTGTCCACATGGACTTCTCACCAGGGTTAATTCAAAATTAAAGTGCCCCAGTTATTTATCCAATCCCCTTTTTCTTTGTTGCAGAGATACTCTCTGGGTTTGGATGGGGGGATGAGGTCTGCGTGTGTTGTGTGTTATATTGCTAGCATGTTAAATCAGGACAGTCTTGATCACCCTGGTGCCCTCCAGTTGTTTGGGGCTGCAACTTCCACCAGCCCAAATCAGTCTGGTTAATGGTCAGAGATTATGGGAGTTCTAGCCCAAAATGTCTGGAGGGCGCTTAGGTTGGGGAAGGCTGATTTAGAAAAACATGATAGCAGCACTGCTTAGAGATGATAGTAGTTAAGTGGTATGTACATTGTTTAAAATAGTAGTTGTAGTAATGTTGTTTAGTCGTTTAGTTGTGTCCGCCTCTTCGTGACCCCATGGACCAGAGCACGCCAGGCACTCCTGTCTTCCACTGCCTCCCGCAGTTTGGTCAAACTCATGTTTGTAGCTTCAAGAACACTGTCCCACCATCTCGTTCTCTGTCGCCCCTTCTCCTTGTGCCCTCCATCTTTCCCCACATCAGGGTCTTCTCCAGGGAGTTTTCTCTTCTCATGAGGTGGCCAAAGTATTGGAGCCTCAGCTTCAGGATCTGTCCTTCCAGTGAGCACTCAGGGCTGATTTCCTTCAGAATGGAGAGGTTTGATCTTCTTGCAGTCCATGGGACTCTCAAGAGTCTCCTCCAGCACCATAATAGTGGTTGTAGTAATAATAAATAAATAAATGTCACATGAGGAACTGAAGTGGGCATGAAGACATAATTAATACTAACTTATGCAGGTTTTGATGGGTTTCTTCTTTCCTTTCTAGAGCTGATAGATATCACCTGTACGTTGCTGCTATTGAACCCAGATTTCACTACTGCATGGAATGTCAGGTAGGTTAAGCAGCTGAGGATGGAAATATTTCTGGTAGCTGCCTTAAGTCTGTGTGAGGCATACGCATGGTTTTAAGCATACCAGCTCGTGTGCTTCAGGAAAGCTTTTAATCCTGCTTCTCCTTTTTCTTTTCTTTCCTGACACCCAAGGAAGAGCTTGTATTTTGAACAATGAGCTATGGCTGTTGGTTGCATTCATCTCTTGGTTTCTGACTCATTATGGAAATGTTGGGGATTTTTAAACAATTCCCAGCTACACAGCAAATGAATGTGAAAAGCACAGGATCAGTTGTTTGTTCCACTTTAGTCCACGCTGCAGGCTTCGTTTTAATGTATCCTTAGTTGCACTTGCTTTTTGATAATGAAGTGCAGGTTCAGACAATCACATTGTGGCTTATTCAGTTGAGAAGTGCACAACTCATTGGAAGGGGGAGGGCCATGTATTCCACCGTGAGCTGCCTGGAGGATATTATTATTATAAATAAAACAGAAATACATTCACCTTTTGAGACAAGAGAAAGCCACAAGAAATACCTCAAGGCAAGTGGGGAAGACTTCCCTTTTACTGCTTCCTCTCCCACTCTAAATAAAAATGCATGAAGCCTGTGTAAAACAGCTCATGAAGCAAGTGGGGAAGGCCTTCCAGTTTCCTGTTCTCTCCTTCTCTCAAAATGTCCTGCAAAGCTAGAAAAATGGGGAGGTGGGTGCCCCACTGCTTGTCTATGCTGCCCCCCATTCTAAGTCAATAAAAGGTGGAACATAGCCCCTGCAACACCTCTCCCCCTTCCCAAATAAAAATGCCTTTCAGTGATAGAAAAAGCAGGAAGGCAAACCACAAGGATATAGGCAAACCACCCTTGCTGCTTACCTGTCTCCCAGAGTAGGGCAGAAGTTGACTGCTTAACCAACTGGAGTGGAAGGAAAGGATGAGTCCTTCCAACTCTAGGAACTGCTCTTCGGTGCTGGGCAATATGACGCTCCCTAGAAGGTACCAGTACATTTGGCTCCATGACTGTTTTCTCAGGAGCACGAGAGATATTCAGCATTGAGCTAAAGCAGTCGTTCCATCAGGGCAAGCATTCTGCTTGCCAGGCAGAATGATCCCCACTCTCCTCCCCATACATGCTGGTCTGGGTGTTCTCATGACCCCTGTGAGCCAATTTCAGGACATCTGTGGATTAGTTGAATCCTGCCATTATTATTTAGGGAAGTTTTTAATGTGTGACATTTTAATGTATTTTTAATCTTTGTTGGAAGGAGCCCAGAGTAAATAATAAATTATTATTATTATTTTAATATATTATTAATATTAATATATTATTAATTGTTATTAATGTTATAATATATTATAATGTTAATATTTTTAAAAACCAAAAGCTGAAGAACCTGGGGCTCCTGAAGGCAACCCCTGTACTAGTGTAATATGTTTGTAACACCCAGTCCTAGTTAGCAGCCTTGCAGCCATATTCTGTATCAGCTGAAGTTTCCGGATCATTTTCAAAGGCAGCTCAACATATGGTGCATTACAGTAATTCACATGGGAGCTTTCCAGGGCATGGGACAAGGCTATTCCTGTCCAGGTAGCATTTTAGTTGGTGCTCCAGCCTCAGCTTCAAAAAGGTACTCCCATCCTCAGCAGCTATTTGTGACCAGTGAGCATCCAAACTGCAACTTTAGAGGCAGCATGGCCTCTTCCATACCAGGCTGAACTTCATTTACCTAGACTATAAATTTAAAGCAGTAGTATTAGAAATACTCCCAAATGAGAATCATGGAATCGTAGAATTGTAGAGTTGGAAGGGGCCCTGAGGGTGCAGCCCCCTGCAATGCAGGGATCATTTGCCCAGTGTGGGGCTCAAACCCTGAGACTGGCTCATTCTCGACTGACTGAACTATCCTAGGTTTTCCCTCAGGATGATAGTTTCTGTAGTACTTTTCTGAATGTAGCATTATTATTCTTGCAACAGCATTTTGCATTGTTTAAAACCGAGATAGAGCACCTTGAGCAAGACTTCCAGGGAGCACTCTTGGTGGGTAAATTTGAACCTTACTTTTTGGTGAGCAGTGGAACTATATACGGTCCCAAAACACTAAGCACACAGGTTATTTGTTTTGTTCAACCCAGTTTAATTCATCAATAGATGAACACACACACAAAGTCAAGTATGAATATTTGCATTCCTTACCAAAATTCTTTGTTCTGGCTCTGACCAATCCCTGGAGAGTGCAGAACGTACCTTGCCTTCCAGCTTGAAATCTGAGAAGGACCATGTGCAGGGATGTGAGTATGGTCTTGTATAGATCAATTCCAATATTCTTTTCTTCATTCAATGAAGGTCATTCACTTGTTCTTCCTTAAACAGATTTGCCTAATTTACATCAGCCTCAACTCATCCTCTGCCAACCAAGCCCTTGACTTCTAACACAATGAAGCAAATAATATATTTCAAGTTCAACCAAGATGAAGGCTACGTAGTTCCTAGAGGCAGCCATTACAGGGGTGTATAGGAGAGGGAGTACAGGACCTCTCAATCAGCTCCATTGAAAGACCAGCAACTTTGGGGGCGGGGAGTCATCAATCTTTGGAATTCATTAGACCCTTAATCCAAAGCTCTCAAGCAGGTATTATTATTATTAAAAAGATTTGTTGGTAATTACATTCTTTATTTCAGCCCAAAGACCCACAAAAACATTTTCAAAAGCAAAATAAAACAGAAATACAGGGGAAAGATTCCAAGGTGGTTGCTATGTTTTATCCAACGCATGTAGGTTTCTGTTTCTTAAAAAGATTTGTAGTTGCTAGAGATAAAGCTAGGAAGACAAATCATAACATCTCTGTGGATGCAGGGGGGTGGGACCCCAGAAGAGCTTCTTAGTCCAAAGTATTTCCCCCTTAGCTATGAAGTCTTGTGAAAAATCTTTACTGTCTTTCTAAAATATCATGAACAGCAGAATGTAGTGTAATTTATTTAATCTAAACTTAGTTACATTAAAACTAGTGTTTTAGTTCCTCACCTTATTTTTTTTAATGCCATTTTTGTCCAGCTCCTATTGCACAGCCATTTTAACAGGTAAAGCTGTGCAAGGAGAAAGAGTTATCACCTTTCTCCTTGTGGGGCCACTGGAGTGGTGGAGAAGCGAATGAGCTGTGATTGATTCAATTCATATATCATCTCAATCACAAATCTTGCTAAATGTCCTTGGACAAAGCAATAGCCCTAAACCTCTCACCACCCCTCAATCTGCAATACAAGGAAGAACTTCCTGACAGTCAGAGCTGTTTGACAGTGGAATTTGCTGCCAAGGAGTGTGGTGGAGTCTCCTTCTTTGGAGGTCTTTAAGCAGAGGCTTGACAACCATATGTCAGGAGTGCTCTGATGGTGTTTCCTGCTTGGCAGGGGGTTGGACTCGATGGCCCTTGTGGTCTCTTCCAACTCTATGATTCTATGATTCTATCATTCTAGGATTGTAATAGTACCTCACTGTACAATGCTCTTGTAAGGTTTACTTGATCATGTGTGTGAAGGACTTTGAACAGTGAACATGAGTAAGGCAAGGTATTTTGTTATGCCTGTAAAAACCAGATTCATAAGAAGTGTACTTGAAGAAGTAATATCAGTGACATTGCTTCTCTGCTTAGTTGAAGCAGGAGAGAGTGGATGAGACCCAATCTGACTTTTTCACATGAGGCATACAATTATTTTTCACATGAGGCATACAAAAATAGCTTGGTCCTGCAATTCCTCTCACCTGGATTTTTGTTTGGCTACTCTAGACTTCAAACTTCCTCAGACCCAAGATCCACCTTTTAACCCTAACATGCATTTGAGGCCCCATTTCTTAACTTTCTGCCAAACATTTACATAGAGACCGTGCTGCTGCTGTTGTGTCTCACTTTGGACCTGGTCATGGGTCCTGACCCACCAGTTGCAGCCCAATGCTCTCCATCAGTCATTGAGACCCCTAATGGAACCCATGACCACCTTGGAGACCATTAACACATCCTAAAGCTTTATAATTGATTTTAGTACTTTTGGTTGTATGCTTTGCCAGATGGGATATTATGGGCTGCATCCCATGCTGCAGCTCAGCTTGCACAAGAGAGCTTCCTGTTGCTCTCCTTTTCTCTCCAGCCCCACACATGCTTCCAAAATCAGCACCAGGAGGTTGGGGTTCCCTCTGGAGCAGATTTTGGGAGCACACATGGGGAGGAGAGGAAATGGAAGCCCCATTGGAAACAACCCTAGATCTGTTCTTATTCTGTGTGTAGGACTGTGCCTCAATCAATGGCTTTGGGGAGTATCTATTATCCTATCCTCCTTCTGTGCCCCCTCCAGTTCTATAAACCATGATTCTCCTAACCTGTCATTCTGCACCCATAGTTTATGCAGTGGAACCAAAAGGTTTCTTTACCTAGTGTAGTCATCTGCAGCCCTTGTCATGTTAATAAAGTGCCTTAGAGTTGAACTGATATGATTTCTTTGTACAAGCGTTGCAGTTTCATAGCTCAGTATCACTGGATGCTGCAACAGGAGTAATGAACTGAGTTTCTTCTGTGGAATAACATTTGCATGAAAGGCATTCTGTGAAAGGATTCTTCAGTGGAGATTGGTCCTAGGAAGGATTTATACAAACAGCAATGCAGGCCATGAATAGGTTAAATTTGAGTCTTGATAATCTTGCTGGGTTTTGCTAAGAGGCTGGCAATCAAGTGTTCTTCAGTAATAAGCATAATAAGCATAAGTGCTTGCAGGTAGAGCTTGGCATTTCAGATTCTCCACCAGGGCTGCTCTGTCTTTCTTTCATCTTCCCAAAGGTAACTTCCAGCTGTTAGATGCATCAGCTTCTCAGCGGATGATCTGGCTTGGTCCTGGCTAGCAGGAAGCCAAACTGTATACAAATATATGAAGCCAAGGAACAAATGCCCCTAATAATCCTAATTAGTTTTCCATCTTTGAAGTTCAAGGTCGGGATAGATTTGATTGCCTTGCTGCACTTCATTCTTCACATAAAAATGAAAGCTGAAATAGAGAGCAAAATAATCTGCAGCTTGTTGGGTAGGATAAGTGCATTAACAGCCTGTAGTAGAAAACCAAAACTATTTTTATCATTTCCCCTTGTTGTTGTTATAAATTTATATGTTGCGCTTCACCCGAAGATCACAGAGTAGTTTACAGCATAAAAATACAAAATGAAAACACAAAATACATAACATAATAACAGAACCCCCCCCCACTAATGACTCCTCTCCCACAAAGACATTTAAAAGGCCATAGATTCCAATTTAGCACAGGTTGGTAAAAGTCTTTTCCTTTTTATTAAATCTTATTTCTGAATGGCATAGGCAGAAATGAATGTTCCATTATTATTTAGCTGCTTAATTTTAACTCTGTTTTAAAATCTGACCCTATTTTAAAGTATTTTATAAACAGAGATGTGTATTAAGAACAAAATATGTCAGAAGCAGACTTGAGGTAGCAGGAGATGTTTTTAAAGAGACATGTCATTCATTACAATTCTCTCACCCAAAATCAGTTCTCTGTGGAGCTCTGACAGTGGGGCATGCAAGTTGTTGCTCCATTTAGATGCATGCACGTAGAATGCGCAGACTGAGTGGTTGCAGCTTAGTATGTTTATTTCTGTGCGCACACGCTTCACAAAGGGCATTTGTGATATTGTTACACATATCTGCATACTTCTTTCGCTCCTTTTTGTACATGGAAAGTTGTACCTTCTGAAGCAGCTCTAAATAGGATGGACTATAGGATTGGTCTGTTGGGAATTTAATGAAAAAATAATTACCGGTAGCTTTCAAATATCTTGCATGCGTTGACTTGCACCATTACTTTCTGCTCTTTGCTTTTCTTTGTAGTGAGTAGATTTGCATTAGTTATAACCAAAAAGAGTTTATTTTTCTGTTTGTTTGTTTTTGAGAAAGTAAAAACTTCCAATTCCCAAAGGAAGTACATAAGACTACTGGCATATACAAGGGCCATGCCCAGTGGAAAAACAAATCAACTTATTATTTGTTTTTCTTGAACTAAAATAAATTTGGTTAACTCCTCCCTATTTGGCCTAAGCAGAAGCAGCATATTATTTTGTACAATGGCAGACCCATATAAAACTCCTTTTAATTCTTGACATTGCTGAACCCCCCAGCACCATCTGGAAGCACCCATTTTACATCTGTGCAACTTTCATTTGGAATCTGCCAGGGTTCTATGTATGTGTGATATGCATGAGACTGGAATCTGATCCAGAATGTTCATTGGAATGTAGAAAGCATTTAACCAGGCAGATGAAGTGATTATCTGGTTGTGTGGGGAGAGAGGCTCAAGTGGGATAAAGAAGGAATTGACTTGCTAGTTACTACTTCACAGAGTTCAGGGCTTTTACTTTCCTCTGGTTCTATTCAGAGCGACTGATCCTGTGCCTCCACTATCATGATCAGTTTTAATATATACATATATATATACCGTATTTTTCGCTCTATAGGACACACTTTTTCCCCTCCAAAAATGAAGGGGAAATGTGTGTGTGTCCTATGGAGCGAATGCAGGCTCCTTGGCTTCAGCGATAGCAACGTGAAGCCTCCAAAGCGCAGAGGGAGCGCTCCCCCCGTGCTCCGGAGGCTTCGTGTTGCTTTCGCTGAAGCCGCCTGAAGCCCCCAGAGCGCAGGGAACTCCCGCTGCGCTCTGGGGGCTTCAGGCAGCTATCCGCAAGCCTTCGGAGCACAGCAGGAGTTCCCGCCTGAAGGATAGCCGCCTGAAGCCTGGAGAGCGAGAGGGGTCGGTGCACACCGATCCCTCTTGCTCTCCAGGCTTTGCTTCGCTGGAGAGGCGCTGCACAGTTTTCCCTCTCTGCTCAGCGCCCCTTCAGCGAAGCGGGAGGAGAAATGGAAGGGGCTCCGCTTCTCCTGCTGCTTCGCTGAAGGGGCGCTGAGCAGAGAGGGGGAGAATTCCCCCCCCCCCGTTCTCCCCCTCCTATGGTCCGGTGCGTCCTATAGAGCGAAAAATACGGTATATATATTATATAGGTATATGTATAGATTAATAAGTTTTAATGCTTTTATCAGTTTTTATTGATGGGTTGGATCCAGAGTTGGCATCCTGCAAATGCAAGGGCTCCCTTTGTACACATTCAGTTACTGATCCTGTGCAGAACTGGAGAAGAAGTTGTTTTTGTCCATTTCCTGCCTCGCTCCCAGTGATCCCATCCCCTGCCCTCGAAAATCTGCTCTGGAGGTTGATGTACAATTTGGTCCAGAACCGGGGGGGGGGGGGGAGGGAGAGAGAGAGAGAGAGAGGTGTTTCTGAGGTTCTGGGAGGAGGAAATGGTAACCTGCCCTCCCTGACCTCACTTCCATAGTAGTGGCATCCAGAACAGAAGGCTGTTCAGGGGACACTACTGTTGGCAACAGCAAACTCTGGATCCAGCCTTTTGTGCAATTTATTACTGGCTACTTTCAGTAAATGTGTCTGTACTAATTAATTCATTTTTTGGAAAAAATTGCAGGAAAGAATTAATAGTATCTGGCACTTTAAATCCAGTTAAAGATTTACATCTTGGGAAACTGGCACTAACTAAGTTTCCAAAGAGTCCAGAAACGTGGATTCACAGGTTTGTCTCTTTCTGTGGTTATTTCTCTTTCCCTACCCCCACCTGAAAAGAATATGGAAACGTATAGCAGTGGTTCCTCGACGTTTCAGTGAGAGGAAACTACTAGTCAGTCTATTTTAAAGTTCCAATGTTTGATGTAGAAAATACTGTCCATTTTTATATAAGGTTTTTCTGTTGAAAATGTGTGCTGCCTGTTTCTCTAAAGTGGCCACAACTACCCAGAAACGAAATCTTGAGGCCATAATGGAGATCTCACTGAAAACACAAGCTGTGGGTGCTGAAGAAACGAAAAGGGCAAATGAGTTATTTACAGTTATTAGAAAAGTAGTTGGAACCAGGACAGAAAGCTTCAGAATGCTATTTTATGAATCTTTGATTACGCTGGTCACTTTCCCCATCTCAAAACAGGAACTCCGAGAAATCGAAAGGGTACAGAAAAGGGCATCTATGAAGGACAGACTAAGGAGAGTGATACTTTTTGGTTTAGAAATACAGTGACTAAGAAGGGCAAGAAGAGTTCATATAATAATTAGCCATATGGAGAGAGTATCTGATATTTATAGAATGAGAATCACCCCATCACAACAGACAAAAGGAAGTAATAAATCAAATGACTTTTAAAAAGGATTTACTGACCTGGTTTGCAGGTGATGGTAAACCAAAGTTAATGAATGGTTTATCATGACTGCTGCCATGGCTGGAAGGAAGCAATTCATGATCCCTGGCATAACAGTTTGTCTGTTTTGCTACCAACAAACCATAATCAGTAAGCTAAGGACAGACCTTGGCTGCACATTGTGGTGTGTTGGGAGCAATCCTTGATTTGTGCTTTCTCCCAACACAAGAAGGAAGGAGCAAAGTGGTGAACTATTAACTGTGGCTTACAAAGGTGGAGAATGTTTTTCAGGCCAAGGGCCACATCCCAATGACCAGTGGTAGGGACACAGCTGTATGTGGGCAGAGCTGTAGGCTTGCACACCAAAGTCAGAGGTTTTTAGACTTGCATGCTCAACTCCCCATCCTCCATCCATGCAAACGGCAGATGTCATCCCAGCTCAGCAACAATTTCCATCCCAGCAAAACCACCCAGAAGAAACAGGCTGTGGCCTAGAGGAGGCGAGGGCTTGAGGAGAGCCCTGAGGACCAGATATATTGGCTTGGAGGGCTGCATTTTGCTCCCAGGCCTGAGGTTCCCCACTCCTGGTTTACCATGCCAAATGTCAAACAGCAGGAGCTACAGGCTGAAGTAGCTGATAAAAGCATTTCAGGACCATAAAATGTATTTCCCAGTATTACTTGATTATTAGTGCGGAGGTTGATGTATTTCTTTTCTCCAACTTTCATTATTCCTGCCTTAAGACCTAGTAACAAACGGAACAAAATAAAATGTTTTCACTCACTTAAATTGGCTTTTGCCCTCTTAACTCTCTATGCCACTTGACCAGACGCTGGGTGCTGCAACAACTAATTCAGGAAAACTCCGTGCCCACTCTCGTGAATAAAGGGAATTTGGAAACAGCTCCCACGGAAAGGATTCAGCGGCTAGTGAAAGAAGAAATGGATGTTTGCTGTGAAGCTGCTGGGAGATATCCAAGTAATTATAACGCCTGGTCCCATCGCGCCTGGGTCTTGCAGCACGTGGCCAAGCTCAGTGGAAAGGTATGTCACAGCAGGGAGAAGTGCCTTGCAAGAGCTATTGGTAAGAATTGGAATGACTTTCTTATAAATACTTTGAAATATTTGGAATGAAATTTCATCATGAATGGCCTATGAAATTTTGGGGAAGAGAAGAAGGGATAAAAACTGCATTAGGCTGATTCAGACCATCCAGCTAGCAGCTACGGTATGGAGCCTGTCCCTCCGAAAGGTGAGACAGGAGAGCGGGTGATGCAGGAGGGAGATGGAGCTCATGATGAAGTTGTGACAAACTGTAAAGGCTCCTGTCAGAATAAAAGAAGAAATATTGTACAACAATATTTGAATACTATGATTTTTCTTTTCTTTTTTGATGCCTATATTCTCTAAAGACAGTATGCATTGTTAAAATGCAGATTGGGTATTGGCATAGGTTCAAAGAGCTCAAACAATTTAGAAGCCCCATAGTGGTATTTATAAGTGCCTTTCACATATCTAAGGATATCCTTCAGCTCAGATTATGCTGGTTTAATGAATTAGCACAACATCAAACAACTGGAACGTTACTAACTGGCTTTAAAAATGCCTTATCAACTGGAACAGAAATGCCTGTTTGAAAAGCAGCTGTTTCCACCCCTTCAGGGAGGTTCTTGGAGGTGGGGGTCTCTAAAACGGGCTGCACCAGCGGGTGGGAAGCAGTTGATATCTGCCCCTTTTAAAATGCAACGTGCAATATTCTTATGACTTTCACGTTGCCATTTCTCATTTGCAATGCAGGCTTGGTGCCTTTTCATTATGCCGGCCCATCGACCTTCCACAAAGCTAAGCTTGACTCTGCACTCTTTTCATCTCCAACATCATCTGCTTCTCTGCCTGAGCATTTTCAAGGGAAGAGTGCTGAGCTCAGCTCCTTGCAGGAAAATCATTTTGCAGCACCCCATCCCCCAATCTCTGCCTTGTTACCTGAGAACCTTCCAGAAATGATAAGGGCATTTAATAATAACCTGAAAACTATGCCACAGGCCCCAAGAGAAAGTCTGGCAGCCTCTACTACTTAATTTCCAAATGAAAAAGAATTTAGGGCAGCAAGAGTTTGAAGAAGGTAGATGGGGAAAGAAGCAAATAATTTTTTTCCCATCATTTAGCAAGGGCTGCTTCAGTTTGCTTCTAAGGAGAAAAGTTAAGGCAGCCATTCTGTGGTATAATACAGGGCATCAATGAATACAGCAGTTTAAAAATCTGTTCCCTTTGCTATGCTTAAAGAGGTGCATATGTAGGGTTCTGACTTCAGAAGACTTACACTATGCACAGTTATAAAAATCCAGATTATAAAAATAGTCAGAGTGTTTGGCAGCTGCTGTATCCAACTTCACATGCGCTGAAAATGACTGCTGGCTCTTCTGCACAGTTGTACCAGGTGTGCATAAGCCCTTGTGTCCTACAAGAAAGAAGAAACCCTTTCCCAGGTATCCACAAGGGTTGATTTTACCTTGCTACCCTCTCCGATGACTGATGGAGCTATTATCCCTTCCTGACCTAACTAGTAATGTGGGGAGGAAACATTTACAGCGCTTAATTTTTCTGCAGAAATTTTTTTGTTTCATAAGTTCATTAGTAACAATTGCAAATACAACAGGCAAGTTGGGCAGTTTCAAAGCTGTAGTTAATGTTTTTCAGGTGATTATCTCTAGCAAGTCTAAGTCAGCAAATTATGCACAGTTCTTTAGGTTGCTAAAATTTATTAGTGTGTCAGCAGTTTTTAGTACCTTTTGTGCTTGTTTCTTCTTATACGAGGGAACTATATGCTGTTCCAGTAACAATTTTCACTCAATATATAGCATTTAAACCACATACAGGCTGCATCCAGCAACAGTTTCTTCTGTGTTCCCAACATTTTCCTAACTGTTAATTTTGGTATTATATTTGAGTTTTCATGTGTCATAAAAGGCACTTTCAGGAATATAGCAGAATATAACACAAAGTTATGACTCATTGGCATGTTATTTGCTTCCAGAAAATCAGTTTGTGAAGATACAAAATTTTGCCATTTAAAAACTTAAGCAGCAAATGAATGTCAAATTCAACTTTTATAATTGTTATTATTATTATTTATAATATAATATAATATAATATAATATAATATAATATAATATAATATATAATATAATATAATATAATATAATATAATAATAATATATTATTATTATTATTATTATTATTATTATTATTATTATTATTATTATTGCTATTATTATTATTTATATCCCACCCATCTGGCTGGGTTTCCCTAGCCACTCTGGGCGTCTTTCAACAGAACATTAAAAGCAGAATAAAACTTCAAACATTAAAAACATCCCTAAACAGGGCTGCCTTCAGATGACTTCTAAATGTCATATAGTTGTTTATTTCTTTGACATCTGGTGGGAGGGCGTTCCACAGGGAGGGCGCCAATACCGATAAGACCCTCTGCCTGGTTCCCTGTAACCTCACTTCTTACAGTGAAGGAACCACCAAAAGGCCCTTGGCGTCCACAGAGCTCCCGAAGCATAGAAATGAAAAGCTAAACCAAACAAAAAGTATACATTTTAAAATTTGGAGGTAAAATTCTTGATTTGAAGACTGGCAGGGGAAGCAATGGGCAGACTTGATTTGCCACAGTAGATATCAGATCTCTGTAGTTTTGTCCATTTCAACACCGCTTATATTCCTAAATTTATAGCGGGGACTGAAGCCCATTTTCTCTGTTATTTTGGCACTTTTTGTTTAGCTATATGGAGGAGCTATGATTATTTTGGCTCAACAGCAGAAGACCTCAGGCAGTTGCTGTAAATGAAAATTGATTTTTTTGGGGTGGTGTCTTATCTTTATGGATGGATTAATTTACTATCTGCTTTTGACTTTCAGATTCTTCTAGATGAACTTTCTTCCACTAAGCACTGGGTCTCCATGCATGTTTCAGACCATAGTGGATTCCACTACCGCCAGTTTTTATTGAAATCTTTGATTGATGGAACTGAGACTGAGTGTACTGTAGAAATGCACAATTCACCAGCCAATCAGCAAGCACCCAGGCTTCTAAAAGATGAAGAAAATGATGAAGCAGAAGCTACCTGTGTGGAAGAACAACCAGATTTCCCACTTCTTCTAAATGAAGAAGTAGAGCTCTGCACTGATTTAATTAACACTTACCCAGGGCATGAAACCCTGTGGTGTCACAGGTAAGGAAATGTATACAAGGATCTGGCTTGAAGAGAATAGTTACCACTCTGATAGGATTCATTTATTCCAGCCATTCCACACTGTGGTGCTGGTGGTTTGTGTGTCATTAAAGCTACCTTTAAAAGTTGCCTCACAGAGCTGCCATTGAACATTGGTTGTTTTGCAATAAATCAGCATTTTCTATTTATTATTATATTTGTTTAGTAAAATATTGCTTAAATGTACGGTCTTTCTTCTGACAGTGTTCACTTCTACAAGGTACCAACAGCTCTTTTATTCCTTCATGTCAGCCATTTTTTTATAGCACCTGTGTCAATTTATCAATATATAAGTACAGTACCCCATTTTTCACCAAAAAGACTAGCTAACCATCTCGAAGGTAGCCAGCAGGGTACAACAAAAGCATCTTGCAGAGCAGAGCAAAAGAAAGTAAATCAGAACAACAGGAGCAGGAATGCATCAGGGCAATCCAAAAGAAGAAGCCCACCTTGACCTGGTGCAAAGTGTGTGTCGGGACATGTTGGTGTGTCGGCTGCAGAGTGTAGGTGTGTCATGCGAATGCTCCCCATGTTCCTCCCGCAGCTGGAAAAGAGTTAGTTTAACCTTTGGTTTGCAAGTAAAACTGAATGATGCAATGTCTAAAAAGTGTGTCACCCACATGAAAAGTTTGGAAAGCTCTGATCCAAAAGCTATTAAGGAAGGAGGAAGGCTCAAATATTTGATTCAGTTGGTTCATAAGGCCAGGAAATGTTCCAAGAAAGACTCAGAAGTTTTGATAGCACATTTATTACTGAGTCAATGGACAATAAGAAATCCCCAGAGACTCACAAAAGCTTCTACGGAACCTTCCATATCTTTAAAGAGCACTGTCCTGTTATATGTACCGTTTTAAAAAAATCCTTTTGCTGATATCTTCATTTGAGACCCATACTGTTTATGGTTATTGTTTTTCTCATAAAATTAATAAGTTAATTTTTTTTTAAGAAAAAAGGGAAGGAGGAAGGAAGGACTAGGGAGGAAATTCCACAGCTTTCATGCTCCTGAAGAAACGACACTGGTTCACGTTATCACCACCATACTTTAGCGTTTCCGTGCTCTCTGACTTCCATCACGGTGTCCCGTTGCGCCAGTTTAGTCCTGCTGGCTACATGACGCGGAAAGCTGTCTCCCTTGGCCTGAAGCGAGATGAGCGCCGCACCCCATAGTCGCCTTTGACTGGACTTAACCATCCAGGGGTCCTTTACCTTTCCTTTACCATACTCCAGACGTACCTTTTTGAGTTCTTGCATTCTGGTGTTAGCACCAACCCCCCCAACCCCCACCAATAAAAGGTTGTTATCCGGCAGCAAAGTAGGACTTGAGTTTTTATGTCCGTTACATCAATGATATTAATTAGAATTCTCTTGTCCATTTAGCAAGATGGAGATCTGGTGTGAATCTGTCTCCTTGCAAAGTATCACAGACTCCGCACATTGCCAACAAGACATCAGATACAGAGAACGAGGAATTTCAAATTTAGAAGTCAACCTTTTTTATAAAAAAAAATGCTTAACAAGTTGTGAAGAAGTTTATGGGGAAGAGGGCAGAAATGTTACTTTCAATCAACAGAAGTGCTAGACATTTGATTTACTCTTATTTCTTCTCTTTGAAGACGGCGTGTGTTCTATCTTCAGCACCACTTAAAAAACAAACTTCCACTTCCAAGTGTGTGGTCAGCAGCTGCAGACAAGAGTGATGGCCTGCTGAACAACTCACACCCCGGTGCTGCATTTGGTCATGTGAGCCAAGCCATGGATGTGGACGGCCTGCTGGAATCCAGCAGACAAGGCTACACTCAAGAAACCAAACGCCTGAAACGTGCTCCTGTGCAGGACTCTATCAGTCTCGAAGCAGAATACAGGTTCATCGATCAAGTTTTATCAACATGTAGGGATGTAGAGCAGGCAAGGTTTGCTGGGGCATACAGAAAATGGCTGGTTTCCTTTCTAGGTCAGTGAAGAAGGAGATTTTAAAATAATAATAATAATAATAATAAATATGCAGGGTCCTTTGTTTAGTGCAATATTCTCTTTTCAAACATTGGTGCTTGTAGTGGCGCCTGGAACTTTTCATCCGTTGTTTTTGTTGTCTGTGCTAAACATCCTTTCCAGATGATGGCTTTTACTTATATATATTTTAAAACACCCTTGTGTTGGTCAATAAAAGTTTTTTTCTGAGTTTATGTTACATGTAGGGTGACTCCATATCACAAACTCATTAATTATAGTATTTTAAAAATCAGCTTTAATTAAGATGAATATAAGTTAGGTAGCCAATACCACTGGAAAATTTATTCACTTTTCAATGTCTCTTGCATAACAAATGCACCTGATCAAAAACATTACCTACAATGGAAAGTAATCCACAATATCAGCGCAGACAGTGTTTGGGCCTGTTTGTTTTAAGTACAGATGTTTTAAGTGGTTTGTGTGTAAACCATAGTTACAAATTAATTATGGTTTATTGCAAATGAGCAATGTATTGGTCTGCTTCATTTGTCTCCCACTCCTGACTTTACTGTGATAGAGAAACAGACCAGAGACCAGCTTCATGGTTCCTGCACACCAAGGCTTGCAGTTTGTTTCTCTCCAAAGCAAGCAGCTTACTGCTTGTGGTTTGTTTCAGGGAGTGAACAAAGCTGGGCCTTCCTAGCAGATGCACCGGCACCTGATACTTCTCATTAAACCATCATTAGTTTCATGTGTGAACTGGCCATGGAATCCTTGCATTGCTTTCAGTGCTCTGCTGTGCTTCTGTAAATGTTCCAGACGCAGTTGGTTTCTTTCTGAATTACTCTGACATTACTTACATATTCATTGCAGTGCCAGTTCTAGAGGAATATGGTTAATATGTTGCAGGAAAGTTGTGAAAATTAGTGAGAGAAAATTGTTTCAGTCTTACACACACTAGGTGTGTGGTTATTAAAGTCCTTCATTGTATGTTATATTTTTATTTATTTTTCATTTGACTCAAGCCAGTGTTAATTATGTATATTTATGAATGTATTATGAACACTACAGAATTCTGCAAAGCGTCAAAACACATGCCATGGGTAACTCAGTACAGATTCTTAACCTGAAATTATCTTAGTATAAGGTGGCTGCTGGCCTTTTTGCATTTGTGTTTGAAGAACAAGGGGGAAACAAGACTTTTCCTATTGATGTTGCTGATTCTTCTCAGTGAGAAAGACAGTTTGTTGTCTTCAGCCTCCTCCTCATGTCTTTTTGTTATTTATAAATCCATCTTTATGTAAAGAAGCAATTAATTTCCTTGCAATCAAGCTTTTATTCCTTATTGCTTTGCTAACAGTAGAGTGAAGTATGATTGATTTGTTCCGGTATTTATTTAGTGCTGGCCTACATTTGAGATTCCTCAGCCATTATGGCAATACCCTGCTAAATGCAGCCCACTTAGCACACCGGCTCCAATAGGAAGCTCCTTCTGTACCCCAAAACAAGCGTAAACTCTTGCCCATGACCTCAGTCACAGGGGCAGCTTCAGGCACTGAATGAGAATTGGGACACGCTGGTCAGTAGGGAAGCGGATGCTTTGCTTGAAGTTCCCTGCACGGAAGGAGCCCTGGACCGAGCACTCTGGGCAGCGCTCTGGAATCTGTGAGTCTGTCAGCTCTCCCTCTCTTAAGGCCACCAAGCAAATGCTGCTTGTCTGGAAATAATAGTTTGCTCAGATTTCTCGACCCAGATAGCGGTGAAGCATTTCCATTCATAGTCATTCTGCCTGTTTTCTTTGCACAAAGATAAGTGTGCTTGCAGTTTATCTAAGTCAGAAAGTACTATGCCCTGAGAAACCGGGACAGCATTCTGAGACTGATTACATTGTCTTAAGTAGTGTAGCGCAATGGTTAGTTTATATCCCGTGCAAGTATTGCCAAAGGAAAAGCAGTAATGCGAAGAGGTTTCTGCCTCTCGTAAAGTCTGAGGTTGATTGATAAGGAAGATAAGGAAATGCAAAAAGGCCACCAGGGAATAGGTCCATCTTCATTTAGATCTGCCCCCATCTAGTCTTTTCTCAGCAGAGGCATGATTTGCATGTACTCAGCCAATCTAGGACTTGCCATGAATAAGCACACATACACAGGGAGAAAATGGAGGCTGCTTTGCTCCTCCCCTGCTTCTGTCACACTACTTGGAACTAAGACATAGTTTGGCTCAGCAGAACGATGCTGTTGGTCTGTATTACGGGGGGGGGGGGGCATTCAAAAAAGCCATGAAATGCAATGAAGGCTTGTTCTTGGTTTACTATCTGCAGCTTGTTTGGGGAGTCTGCAGCCAGTTGGAGACCACCTGTAGGAACTATATTGACAGTGCTGATCCCTTATGTAATTCAGTTTTATTTTCATGAATACTTCATCATCTAAAATGAAATCCACTAAGCTCTGGGAACATGCACTTTCCATTCATTACAATGGGATCATGCATGCCTCATTGAAATACCGTACTTTACCATGTATTAGACGAGGTTTTTTTTACTCCAAAATAAAGTAAAAAATGGGGGGAGCGTCTTATACATGGGTAGTGCAGAGGGGGGACAGGCAATTGGTTGCATCCGCGAGCAGGATCTAGTGATTGGGGGGGGTGTGAATGGTGTCTGCTGCAAGGGCTGCTTTGGATTGGCTGCTGCTTTGTCAATTTGGCTTGCGTTGCTTGCGATTGTTAGCGTTTGCCAGTTGGGTGAGTGATATTTGGTTCGGCATCCTCCCTCCCACACAAATAGTTCATTTTCTTAAATTTGAGCCCCCAAAAATACGTGGGGGCGTCTTATAGACAGAAAAGTACGGTAAATCAAGGCTGTGCAACAGCATCACATAATGGATTTACTCCAATTCCCTCTTGGTTTTGACATTGCTTAGGTGTATCATATAAATGTACAAGGGAGAAAAGTGGATTTCTCAAATGGGGGTGCAATATTAAAAGGTTCGTGATGGACAGATAATTCCCTCTTTGCTTGAGCTGCATTGATTGTATGAAAGCTTTGAAAGGTAATAGTGAGACGTGACTTGAAATCCATTTTTGCTTTCTGTTGGATTTCTAAACTGAAGTCCCAACTAGATTCCCTGAAGCTATGTATAATGATAACTCTATTAAATTTGGCAGCCCTTCCATTATCTTAGACATAAGGTCAAACTCTGCCCTCAAATATGCATTTGTCCCTCCCAGTGATGGTAGTAGGAATTGTATGTGCAGAAACCTGCATGCCTGCAATGAAACAGTGAAGTATCTTTGGGTTTTAAGCTTGCAAAATAAAAGGGAGGTTCTTAAGAGTTTTTAAAGGATATAAATTGATTCAGAATGGTTGGAGAACAGTATTTTTAAAAAAAGATTCATTGAAATATTCTAATGTCTGTTTAACAATTCCAGTGGAAACTAAAAGAAAAATTAAACCTACCTTTTTTATAGCTGAGCTCTGGCAGTGTTTGGGGACCTCAAGGAAAGAGAAGTACAGTGGTACCTCGCAAGACGAATGCCTCGCAAGACAAAAAGCTCGCTAGACGAAAGGGTTTTTTGTTTTTTGAGCTGCTTCGCAAGACAATTTTCGCTATGGGCTTGCTTCGCAAGACGGAAACGTCTTGCAAGTTTGTTTCCTTTTTCTTAACACCGTTAATACAGTTGCGACTTGACTTCGAGGAGCAACTCATAGAACGTGGTGTGGTAGCCTTTTTTGAGGTTTTTAAAGACTTTGGTGATTTTTGAAGCTTTTCCAAAACTTTCCCGACACCGTGCTTCACAAGACGAAAAAAATCGCAAGACGACAAAACTCGCGGAACAAATTAATTTCGTCTTGCAAGGCACCACTGTAACAATTTAGATAAGTAAGTATGGTTCATAGCAGCAACAACAAAAAGGAGTAATTTCTCCTTTAAAATAAAAAGAGTTGTTTGGAAACACAAGCAAATCACAGCAATCATCATAATAATCATAATACAGTGGTACCTTTTGATACGCACGCCTCTGGTTGCGTATCCTTCGGGTTACACACGCGGCAAACCTGGAAGTATTTTTCCGGGGTTCGCCGCATGTGCAGAAACGCACTGCACATGTGTGCAGAAGCAGCACCTCTGATTGCAAATTCCTCGGGGATATGATCGGAGCTCCGGAACGGATCTTGTGTGCAACTGGAGATACCACTGTAACAACAACAATGTTTTCATTTAGCCGTGTCCGATTCTTTGTGACCCCATGGACCAGAGCATGCCAGGCACCCCTGTCCTCCACCGCCTTCCACAGTTTGGTCAAACTCATGTTAGCAGCTTCGAGAACACTGTCCCACCATCTCGTCCTCTGTCGTCCCCTTCTCCTTGTGCCCTCCATCTTTCCCAGCATCAGGGCCTTTTCCAGGGAGTCTTCTCTTCTCATGAGGCTGCCAAAGTATTGGAGCCTCAGCTTCAGGATCTGTCCTTCCAGTGAGCACTCAGGGCTGATTTCCTTCAGAATGGAGAGGTTTGATCTTCTTGCAGTCCATGGGACTCTCAAGAGTCTCCTCCAGCACCATAATTCAAAAGCATCAATTCTTCGGCGATCAGCCTTCTTTATGGTCCTCACTTCCATACATCACTACTGGGAAAACCATGACTTTAACTATACGGACCTTTGTTGGCAAGGTGATGTCTCTGCTTTTTAAGATGCTGTCTAGGTTTGTCATCGCTTTTCTCCCAAGAAGCAGGCGTCTTTTAATTTCGTGGCTCCTGTCACCATCTGCAGTGATCATGGAGCCCAAGAAAGTAAAATCTCTCACTGCCTCCATTTCTTCCCCTTCTATTTGCCAGGAGGTGATGGGACCACTGGCCATGATCTTCATTTTTTTGATGTTGAGCTTCAGACCATATTTTGCGCTCTCCTCTTTCACCCTCATTAAAAGGTTCTTTAATTCCTCCTCACTTTCTGCCATCAAGGTTGTGTCATCTGCATATCTGAGGTTGTTGATATTTCTTCCGGCGATCTTAATTCCGGCTTGGGATTCATCCAGCCCAGCCTTTCGCATGATGAATTCTGCATATAAGTTAAATAAGCAGGGAGACAATATACAGCCTTGCCGTACTCCTTTCCCAATTTTGAACCAATCAGTTGTTCCATATCCAGTTCTAACTGTAGCTTCTTGTCCCACATAGAGATTTCTCAGGAGACAGGTGAGGTGATCAGGCACTCCCATTTCTTTAAGAACTTGCCATAGTTTGCTGTGGTCGACACAGTCAAAGGCTTTTGCATAGTCAATGAAGCAGAAGTAGATGTCTTTCTGGAACTCTCTAGCTTTCTCCATAATCCAGCACATGTTTGCAATTTGGTCTCTGGTTCCTCTGCCCCTTCGAAATCCAGCTTGCACTTCTGGGAGTTCTCGGTCCACATACTGCTTAAGCCTGCCTTGTAGAATTTTAAGCATAACCTTGCTAGCGTGTGAAATGAGTGCAATTGTGCGGTAGTTGGAGCATTCTTTGGCACTGCCCTTCTTTGGAATTGGGATATATACTGATCTTCTCCAATCCTCTGGCCACTGCTGAGTTTTCCAAACTTGCTGGCATATTGAGTGTAGCACCTTAACAGCATCATCTTTTAAAATTTTAAATAGTTCAGCTGGAATACCATCACTTCCACTGGCCTTGTTATTAGCAGTGCTTTCTAAGGCCCATTTGACTTCACTCTCCAGCATGTCTGGCTCAAGAAGAAGAAGAAGAGTTTGGATTTGATATCCCGCCTTTCACTCCCTTTAAGGAGTCTCAAAGCGGCTAACATTCTCCTCTCCCTTCCTCCCCCACAACAAACACTCTGTGAGGTGAGTGGGGCTGAGAGACTTCAAAGAAGTGTGACTGGCCCAAGGTCACCGAGCAGCTGCATGTGGAGGAGCGGGGAAGCGAACCCGGTTCCCCAGATTACGCTCCTAACCACTGCACCACACTGGCTCTCAAGGTCAGCAGCCACACTACCTGGGATGTACAAGAAATCCATATCTTTCTGGTATAATTCCTCTGTGTATTCTTGCCACCTCTTCTTGATGTCTTCTGCTTATGTTAGGCCCTTACCACTTTTGTCCTTTATTATGGTAATCTTTGCACGAAGTGTTCCTTTCATATCTCCAATTTTCTTGAACAGATCTCTGGTTCTTCCCATTCTGTTGTTTTCCTCTATTTCTTTGCATTGCTTGCTTAAGGAGGCCTTCTTGTCTCTCCTTGCTATTCTTTGGAAATCTGCATTCAATTTCCTGTATCTTTCACCATCTCCCTCGCATTTTGCTTGCCTTCTCTCCTCTGCTATTTGTAAGGCCTCGTTGGACAGCCACGTTGCTTTCTTGCATTTCCTTTTCATTGGGATGGTTTTCGTTGCTGCCTCCTATATAATGTTACGAGCCTCCATCCATAGTTCTTCAGGCACTCTGTCCACCAACTCTAAATCCTTAAAACTGTTCCTCACTTCTACTTCCATAAGGGATATGATTTAGATTGTATCTTACTGGCCCAGTGGTTTTCACTAGTTTCTTCAGTTTAAGCTTTAATTTTGCTATAAGAAGCTGATGATCTGAGCCACAATCAGCTCCAGGTCTTGTTTTTGCTGACTGTATAGAGTTTCTCCAACTTTGGCTGCAGAGAATATAATCAATCTGATTTCAATGCTGCCCATCTTGTTGGAAAAGAGTGTTTGTGGTGACCAGCTTGTTCCCTTGACGGAAGAACTCTATTAACCTTTGCCCTGCTTCATTTTGAACTCCAAGGCCAAACTTGCCAGTTGTTCCTTTTATCTCTTGATTCCCTACTTTAGCATTCCAATCCCCTATAATGAGAAGAACATCCTTCTTTGGAGTCATTTCTAAAAGGTGTTGTAAGTCTTCATAGAATTGGTCAATTTCAGTTTCTTCAGCACCAGTAGTTGGTGCATAAACTTGGATTACTGTGATGTTAAAAGGTCTGCCTTGGACTCGTATTGAGATCATTCTAACATTTTTGAGATTGCATCCCAGTACAGCTTTTGCCACTCCTTTGTTGACTATGAGGGCCACTCCATTTCTTCTATGGGATTCTTGCCCACAGTAGTAGATATGATGGTCATCCGAACTGAATTTGCCCATTCCCGTCCATATTAGTTCACTGATGTCCAGGATGTCAATATTTATCCTTGCCATCTCATTTTTGACCACATCCAACTTACCCAGGTTCATGGATCTTACATTCCAGGTTCCTATGCAATATTTTTCTTTACAGCATTGGACTTTCCTTTCACTTCCAGGCACATCCACAACTGAGTGACCTTTCGGCTTTGGCCCAGCCGCTTCATCAGCTCTGAATCTATTTGTACTTGTCCCCCGCTCTTCCTCAGTAGCATGTTGGACGCCTTCTGACCTGAGGGGCTCCTCTTCCAGCGTCATAACTTTTATATGCCTGTTCTTTTTGTCCATGGGGTTTTCTTGGCAGGGATACTGGAATGGCTTGCTGGTTCCCGCTCCCGGTGGATCACGTTTAGTCAAAACTCTCCACTATGACCTGTCCATCTTAGGTGGCCCTGCCCGGCATAGGTCATAGCTTCTCTGAGTTATTCAGGCCCCTTTGCCACAACAAGGCAGTGATCCATGAAGGATAATAATAATAATAATAATAATAATAATATATTACTAATACCACACCCATCTGGCTGGGCCTCCGCAGCCACTCTGGGCGGCTCCCAACAGAATATTAAAAAATAATAATAATTCATTTGGTTGGCAGATTTTGGCATGTGTAAAAGATATTTCCGTAGTAATACATTTCCTTGTGGGAACCTGTGTAGTATGTAAATGAGAGCTCACAAATATGAACACTCAACATTCAATTTGACTGCATTCTTTGAAGTCCCAGACTGGAAAAAGGCTGTGCAATCCCATTGATTTAGCTGTGCCTCGAGGAACTGGTGATTACCACACATTAAAAGTCCCCTGCACAACACTCCAAGCACTAAGTAGCACTAGATTGAGTTTTTAGTATGTCGGAGGTCAGGATATTCAAACTTAATAATTAAACCATGGCTTTGCTGGAAAAACACCTGAACATCAATTTAGCACCAAACTGTTGTTCATTCTTACAGTTCTTTGAGTTAATAGCGATACAATGTCCAAAATAATTGAGAACTAAACTGCCTGTGTATTTTTTAAGGATTCAGAGAGTGTTAGGTCTCCTTGCACTGTATCACATATGAACAAATCCATTCTTCTTGTTTTGCCCTTGTATGCTTGCCAGATCTTGTCATGGCAGCTTTTTGGTGAAAGTTAATTGCCGATATCTCTGATAATCACTTCAGAAGTGAGAATCCCATTTAAGAGTATTACACAGTGAGGTCAGTATAAGCAAACAAGCATTGAATACTGCATTGTGTCATCTGCAGCGATTGCACTCGAGGTCAGGGTTGAAGAAGCAATTGACTAGATTTCACGTAGTTTGTGGGATAAAAAAAGCACTATGTACATGATGACTTTTTTGACAGTTACTTGGAAAAGGCTAGTACAGATTCAGCCATTTTATATCAATTTGATATCAATTTTAATGCAATATTAAGCCATCCCATTTAAGCTATTGTAAATACCACGTTGAACAGAGGTTTTGCTTTTAATTCTATATTTTTGAATCAGCAGGAAACACCTGTGCTTGTGCTTCTTGATAGTTACTTGTTATCATGGAGAGAAACGTGGGTCAGGTAGTTTAGTCGCCACTCTGATGAGTTTTCTAGATAGCAGCTATAGGATTGGGTTTTGGGTCCCCCCCCCCTTCGCTTTAAATAAGCTTTGGGAGGCAAAAGAACCAGGGCAGTTTTGATATTGTGAGTGATACAGTTGTGAAATAATGGACATTAAAATTCAACACGGGAATAGGTTGAGCTGTGGTTATGTAGACTTACTATGGAGAGAATAAATGCAACCAACACCAGCAAAAGCCATTTTCTTGTATTGTAGGTTTGTAACGCTTCAGCAGTCTTCCCCTGCTTGTTAACAACAATTGGCAGAGTGTTTTTATACTTTATTTTTTATTGCAGTTTTCTTTTATTATGCAGGAGTTAAATAATTGATATTTGAATAATCCACACATAATTTATAATTAGTTGCATTGTTACCATTACGCAGCAGACTTGTGTTTAAGGAGAAAACAGTGATATTGTTATGCTGTTAGATTAATGTTTATACCTTAAATCTGTTACAAACTTTATTCTCTTTCTGTCTCAGTAAAGGCATAAGCATAAGTAGAATCTGAACTGCATAATATGCTTCACTTTCCTTGGTCTGCCCTGCCTGAAATAATGCAATTTGTAACCATTCTGAGTAAATAATGTTATTGTCGAGGAATGGCTGGCTGTTATGTGTACAGCCAAATCCAGCAAGCAGTTTTTGATGGTGCTCTGCAGTTTCCATTGAGAGTGGTTGTGTTTTTGGATATACAGTCATACCTCGGGTTGAAGTAGCTTCAGGTTAAGTATTTTCGGGTTGCGCTCCGCGGTGACCCGGAAATAACGGAGCGCGTTACTTCCAGGTTTCACCACTCGCGCATGCGCAGACGCTCAGAATGATGTCACGCATATGTGCAGAAGTGGCAAATCGCGACCCGCAGACGTGCAGTTGCAGGTTATGCTCTACCCAGGATGCGAATGGGGCTCCAGAACGGATCCCGTTCGCATCCAGAGGTACCGCTGTACTCATTCCAAATTGTAATGCTTTTTTTTTTGCAGAATACACAAGTTGAATCTGAGTTTTTAGTATATTCTTCTACATTGCTGAAAATTAGACTGTCAGTTTAGATTCGCTCTAGACATCTCAAGATCAGCTAAGTGAAAGATGGATGTGACTTTGAAGAGCACCTGAGACACAGTCTCCTCTTCTGTCTGTGGACATTTTGATATTAAAGACAAGGAGGGGGGACTCCACTACTTTCAAACATGTTTTTTCAATATGGCTTTTGAGTGTTGATGGGCATTTTTTCTCTCTTACTCTGTTTAATGTGTGGTGTCCAAATTAGTTTTCTCTCTGAAGAGTGAAGTGTAACAGGCAGGGGGGTCTTTTTCAGATATCACGGACGCCTTCCCAAGAGTTGAGATGAGGCCATGTCTTCAGATGCACCTGCTTTTTACCTTGAACCTCAAAGCTCGAGTTTTGAAAAGCAAGAACTGTATCAATTAAGCCAATGTGATTCCTTTTCATGAGGAGCTTTAACTAACAAATGCTTCCAATGGTTTGTGAAGTTGGAAAGCTCTCCAGTGCCAGAACTTCTTTCTGCCATTTCCACAATGCAAGTGCTGCATAATGATCAAACAATGGAAATGGGCTTGTGGTCATTGATGCTTTCAGTATATATCAAAGCGGGAACAGACTTCTTCTTGTGACTTCTAGTTTGTAATGCTCCTTTACTCAGGGTATAGAATATCAAGTGCATTAGATTCCTTTTTTACCACTATATAACCTATGATGTGTAAATACTTAAATGCTAAATGCATAATAATAGTCTCTTAAAATCTAGCCATCTAACTAATGCTGTAACTGGTTAACAGCTTTTAAAAATCCACCTTTTGCTCTTGTTCTGCAAACATATGGTTTATTTTGTTTTTGAAATGAAAATAGCTGTTAGTAAACTGTGGGCCTGTCCTTATAGGTTGCCAAATATCTCTTTGCAACTAAGAGTTCTTGAGAGGGGGACTTGTGACAATATCCTATTTAACAGCACAAATTAATTTCTTCTGCTGCTCTAGTTAAATCATTATAATACCCACTGATATCTGGAGCAGGCTTATTACCTATTGGCATGACTCAACCAAAATTAATGAGTCTGCATGACAGTCCTAGGCATGCTTACTCAGAAGTAAGTCCCATAACTTCAGTGGGCTTACTTCCAAGTGAGTGTGCTTAGGATCAAAGTCTAACAGTGTTTAAGGTTGACTAAATAATGCCTGAAGCCAAGAGATATAATGATGGAATACTGTTGTAGAGATACAAGGGAGTTAAAATTGGTTAGATTTAAATTTTGAAATAAGCAAAGGATGCGCAATAGCAACACCTGGGGAATTATACAGACACATGTAACCCTGGTCAACTGCCCTATATAGACTCGGTAAATATTTGGATGGAAAAAGCATGGATATTCCATTGTGTGTAACTGTAAACGGAATACGTAAGTAGCATGAAGCACCTGAGGAATAAGTGTTTTGCACTCATCTCTTCAAGGCTCAAAAGCATTTTCTTGCCTTATATACCTGATATTCCTGATGTCCCACCTGCGTTTTCTTTGTGAAAGAGGCATTTCCTGTTGTAGTGTCATTACAGCATGACTTCTGGTAAATTCTTTAGTGTTTGTTTACATATGCTAGCTTTTAGAAAACAATCTAATGAATGCAATCCACAAGTTCATTGTTGCTGCACAATCTCTATTAATTTCAGTGTGGGGTTTCTTTATTTGTTGTATGTACTGGAAGTTAGAATGAAACAAGCCTTAGGCTCATTTCAGATGTAAGAGGAAACCATGGTTATGTAAATGAGCCATAGTGACCCCTCTGGTTTGAGTAGTTTCAGCTTTCCTTTCCCTTGCAATTTTAAACAAGCCACTGTCGCCCATCATGGCAAAGCTCAGGGAATGGTGGTTTGTTTTGAAACCATGGTTAGTGATTTCAGATGCTTACTTGTTATCAAAACATAGTTTAAACACATTTCATGTCCTCTGATCTTTGATGGTGAAAGGAGAGATGGAGTTTTTGAGGGTGAGGCTTACTATGACAAATTTATGTAGCAGGAAACAGGAGCTTTTAGTTACTTCTGAATCAGGCCTTTGTCACCTTTGCTCTTGGTTTAAACGAGATTCGATGTACTGTAAAACAGTGAACAAAAATATATGATTTATCCTATTCATTAAGAACAAATGAAGTGAATACAATTTGCCCTTTCTTTGTTGTACACTTTGTCTACTGAACTCTCCAGCAAAGACTGCCATCAAGGGGAAAAGGCAAAGGTGAAATGTGATGTGGCTTGGGTTTCCGATACCCAAAGTCCAAAATCAAATAGCAGTCAAGAGGTTCTCTGGATGGATTACGTATCACGTTGAGTGGTTGTGGTCGGGAGGCAAACCATTATTCTTAAAAACAAAATATTCCAGCATGAGGGTGACCTTGTATCCATGAGCTTGTGATGAAATGCTATGGGTAACTAGTTAACATGACTGTTCTGTGTCTGCTTGTCCACTTTTTTTCTGCCTGGAATTGCAGTAGACTTAAGATGTTTGGACAACTGGAATAGTTGGCCAAGAGTAGAACTGGCAATTTTCACAGGCAAGTCATATTAGACAACTTGTAGCAGGATATACAATCACAAACAGATTTTGATGTGCATTGTGCATTCAAGGCAACGAAGAAATTACTTGGTTGTACAGTATTCAATGACACTTTATTTCTGTCTATCCATCACTCTTCCATTTTTAAAAATCACACTACCCTCTATTTTTCCAAATTAATGTGGGGTTTTGGATGTTTATTGGTTTTCAGATATATTGAAAAGCCTTTTAGAAGATAGAGATAGGTTTACATGAACTTTCTCTTTGAAAATTGAGCTGTTTCCTTGAGGATGGGCAGTTAAAATCGGGAAAAGTTACAAGTTATGTTCAAATATAAAAGCTGTGTGTATCCAGTTCCTTCATCCTGCCCTATTCCTGGGAGCTTTGCTCCTGGTTTACTGGGTAGGGGAAGCTGCTTCACAGAAGAATCTGTTTCTGGTGCCTCAAATACAGCCTGTATTACATCAAATGCAATGGAAAGAATTGGCCGCACTGATCCAATTCAAGGGTGAAATGTTTGTTATGCTATAGTGTTGCTTAGCACACACTTCATGTGGGCATAACTACATGGACAAAATGCCATTGTAGTGATATTTTTTCACATGTGTTGAATTGCCTAGATATTTTCACATTCTCAAAATCCAAGGTACACATTTTGGTGCAATATTTTAAACACCATAAACCAGTGTCAGTTCTTCCACTGGTTTACACGGTGGCTATGTTTTTAGGTTTAGTGTAGGCTCATAAGTTCTTATGAAATAGTACCGTAACTACCTAGGGGTGTGTATCCTCTTCCACTCATTCCCACTTAAACCTGCTTCTCAATACGTTTTGCATTTCAAATTGCTGCTGAGTTGTGATTTCATGAAATTCTCATTTGGTCTGGAGAGTAGTAGAAACTTCATCCTGCTTAAAATATTGACATAACTGGTTGTGGTGTTAGCAACAGTGGGCAACAGCTACCAAACAGTTTCTGAGATCTGATCACAAAATGATACCTTGATTTCTCCCCACCCCCGCAAATGTTTTGTATCCTAGTAATACAAAACTATATTACAGACTGATTCTGAAGCTCTAGCCATCCCTATGCAATGTCTTCCAAATCTAACAGAAAAAAATTGTGGTGGCAAAATTGTGTCAGCAAAATTATTTTTCCACTTCCAACATCCATCTGGATGTTTATGTGGTTCTCTTTTGTGTTCATATATGATGGTTCTAGTGACAGGCTATACTAAGCACAGTTATAAGTTATTGTATTTCTGTATAAAATGGAAAATAGTGTACTTTTTTTGCTAAATGTTGGCAGTTTTTAAATAAAAATATCTTCCCAGTCTTCTGTCTGACCATATCTTGAAGTTCAGTTTAGTTTCTTATTTGTAAAATTGTTCAAGTCTACTAATCTCTGAAGTGCCTAACTTCTTAAATCTGTAGGAATACTGGAAGCTGCCTTGGAATACTGGAATCAGACCATTGGCCCATCTGGCTTGGCATAGTCTCCTCTGACAGGCAGCAACTCTCAAGGAAGCGTCCCCAACCCTACTGGGACATGCCAGGGATTGCGCCTGGCTGTCTGCTCTACCAGGGAGCTACAGTCCTCCTCAGAATTAAAATAAGTGCCAGCAGTGAAGATCAGCCTCTCAGAGCAATTAATTTATAGCCTGCATATTCATAATGGAATCATAGTCATTTCCATGGGTCTGAACCGTTTTCAGTGCAGTGGGAATCAGTTTGCATTAGTCCCTCAGAAACGAGCAGCATTGGGTGTGAATATATCTCTTGGCATAGATTGCAAAGTGTGCAGGACTTGCACTGAATGCCTCATTTCAGTCCCCTGAAGGATGGCTGCCGCTTAAGAGAGAGGTGACACTGTAATGCCAGGAGGCTAAGTGTTGAAGGCTCCATATGCTTCTGACTGACAGCTGTCACATGGGACTGGGGCTTATGGGTTCGACTGGAAATAATTATTAGTGTTGGGTCAAGTCCGTTTCATATGCCACTCAGCTGTCAGAAATCTGCCATATGCTGCTGTAGCAGAGCTAAGGTGATCAGTTCTGATTAGGCTTTTCATTACTTATCTTCTTAGTCTCTAACACAGGACTGGCCCAAGACAATTTGGCATCTGAGGCAAACCACAAAATGGTCCCATCAACCATCAACCACAGTGTCGCTCTTCCTCTAGAACAAGGGGGCAATAAACATCTTCCTAGGGAACAAGGGCAGGAGCCTCCTATTTCCCCAGAGGATGCTGCAGAGGCAGGATTGGGCCGGCAGGCTGCCAAGGAGGTGGCAGATCCAGCCTCCAGGGAATGTGTCGCAGCAGCCACAGCAGCACTGCATTTCCTGGAGGCCGGATCTGCCCCCCTTGTGGATCCTGCTGCCTGAGGCGCTTGCCTCACCGGTAGATTGGTGCTGCTCTAACAATATGGAGGTCTTTGGCCCAAGCAGAGTGCAACAAGGCCCACTGAGGCCGACAGACACCCTTTCCTCCCCTGGAGCCAAAGGCTTTTGATACACAGCCCCATTTAGCTCTCTCCCCACTTCCCAGCCTTGGGTCCCCAGATGCTGTTTGATCACCCCCAGCCCCAGTCAGCATGGTGGCCTTTGGCCAGGGCTGAGGGAGGCTGTAGTCATAACAACATCTAGAGCAGAGAGAATGAGAATGAATCCACAAGCCATACACGACTCCTGGGCTGCACATACATTGCATCTCCCCCTCCTCACCTGCCAGCATTGCAGGATCTGACCATGGCAAAGAGTTCCAAAGATGTAAGGTTCACCCTCGATGTGTCAGGATCTTACCTGGACAGGTGTGCTCTGTTTTGGTTTTTTTAAAAAACAACCCAAGGGACCATGCAGATTTGCTAACAGACCCAAGAAACAGACTGAAAATATTTTCTCAAATTTTTATTAATGTACACTTCAAATATAAAACAGCAAACATAACCTTAGTACATGGTGTGCTTCTATGGCTCATATGAATGCAGTCTTAAACACACATTAATATAGGTTCCTAAAACACATTTCCTGATGCTCTAAACTTAGCATTAAAAATAAACTATATTAAAGTCTACATGATGAACCATAAGACATAATAGTCGATAGATCAAGTCAACTAACAGGCACAGATCCTACCCATCATTGTAGTTTGGCACACTGTGGCCTCTAGGTTGCGGTGAGCCCAAATAAGCTATCTTATTTATTATTTTAATTAGACTTCTGACGTGCCCAATTTTTATGCACTTTAAATTGATACAATTTTAAAAGCTACTACTTTAAAAAAACAAAAACAAAAACCCTGTCCGGCCATTAACTCTGCCTAAACATTTACAAAATTTCTGACTCCTTATTCTTCCATTTTCTTTGAAATGACTGGAAACCCTGAAGGGTCTCAATAAGAACAGATTTATTGGTTCCATCTCAATCCCTGTTACTTCCTGTTCATGCAGCCTTCTCAATTCAGTAGTGCTTGACTTGAATGAATGCAAAAATTAAAACATGCTGGCCAAACTCATTCATCTGTAGTGCCCCTGACCTATAGCGGGGGTTATATTGTAATTCTAATTGATCAGTCTGATGGAAGCTGAGGTAAGAGCATTTCCTAGTGACTGGAAGGTAGAATCATAGCACTGTAGAGTTGGAAGGGACCCTGAGGATCATCTAGTCCAACCCCTGCAATGCAGGAATATGCAGCTGGTCCATACAGGTAATATGGTATAATATTAAAGCAAACCATGCTGATCCTTTTTTAAAAATAAAAAATAAAAAAGTCCAAGCCCTGTGATTAGAGGGAGACCTTGAAAACTGCCAATGGATTTTCAAAATCGACAATAGCAGAAACAAATAGATGGATATTGTTCTGTACAGAGCACCATTCCTATGAAGTACTGCAATACATGTGTTGGACATGGCAGAAGTGAGCATGGGAACCTGTACCCCTCCAAATATTGTTGGACTCTACTTCATTGCTGACTGAGGCTGGTGGTTTCCAAAAAGATCAAGGACCACAGGTTCTCCAAGAATGGTTAACAAATAAATCTTTTTTATGCAAACTTTTTGCAATATGCTAAATATTAGGAAGAACTTTCTGGCAGTAAGCTGTTTGACAGCAGAAGGTGATGGGTTCTCTCTTTCACAGGAGGCTTTTAAGCAGAGGCTGAATGGCCATCTGTCCTGGATGCTTGAGCTGAGATGCCTGCATTGGTGGGGGCTGGACTAGAAGACCCTCAGGGGTCCCTTCCAACTCTGCAGTTCTGTGATTCAACAGTACAAGAGGGAAAATATCTGAACACAATATGAATTATTGGCATGGCTAAGGAATATGAAGAGCTGTGACTTGGACACAAAAGTTTTGTGTTTTTTTAAAAAAACTGAGTCACAATTATTCTATCTTAAGGTTCATGAGGCATGTTTCTGCCAATGTGATTTATTTTAGATGCTTATATGCTGAATGAAGTCTGAGATGTCATACAATGGGTTTCCTAGGAGATTTCCAATCTAGGTCCTAATCAGCTCCATATCTGTTTAGCTCAGAAACATTGCTACAATTAGATTTAAGCAGTTTTTCAGTAATCTGGGGAAGATTTGTGTTTTTGAGAGAACAAACATATATATATTTACTATTCAATGAGTTCTGCAGAGTTCAACAGGTCTTACTACAGCATAATTGGTTAATGGATTACTATCTGAAGTGCTTATGCTTATATGTGTTATGCCCATTGTTTGTTTTTTTAAATTATGGAAATAATATATTTTGGGTCCCTTTCCTATATTTCAAGGGCTTTGATATTTTGTAAGTTATTCTGAGAGCCTTTTGGGTCAAGAGGCGTAGAAATGCTTTAACTCCAGGATAACTATTGTGGTGCCCTGCAGGTTTTGTCAGCTATAATTTCCAGGCAGCCCTGGCCAATAGTCAGGGATGATGGGAGTTGTAGTCCAAAACATTTGAAGGGCACCATGTTGGCTACCCCTCTTTAAATAAATTAAAAATTATTTGTAGACACACAAACATATTTGCCACTGTTGCTTCCTGTGGAAGCATAATGGTTTAACTGGTCAGCTAAATGCCCTAGAAGCTTTTGAATGTAGCCTGAGTGTTATTGTAACTTAAAAAAACAGATGGTACTTTTTTTCAGTCATGCTATTTTCATCCCAATGTGGTCATTATGACCACAACATTAGTAATACAGTGCCTGTTGTTGGTAATCAGTTGTAGGAGTGACCACATCATTTTTTCAGTTTAACAAGCGTTTATCACACTTTCTCACAGAGAAGAGCTTAAAGTGAGGAAGAGCCAAGAGTATATGGTCCCCTTTAAAGGACTACATTTATTTAGAAACAGAGTAAGTGTGTGATAGGTTTATTTAACTGAATACAATCTTCTTCACAAGTCAGAAATGTTTTCCTATATATAGTGTGTGACTGAACAACACAGAAGACACATCTTCCTGAATAAACTACACAATGCTATAGCAGCCATAGTTTCCAACATCAATCACTGGATGATTTCAGTTTTGTTATTGACAAAAGTGTTCAGAAACAACGATCAGTGAATTTTATATAAGTTTACTCAGAAGTAAGTCCCTTTGAGAGTGAGAAAGCAGTTTTATGCCTCAAGTGTAAACTTATGCCTGAGAGTGAGAAAGCAGTTTTATGCCTCAAGTGTAAACTTTGCTTGAGGACGTGGGTGGCAATTCAACAGGTCTGGCTTTCCAGCACTTCCTTGTCCAGCTGCTTTCCCGTGAGCTTTGGAGCTTAGGCAGGGAACACAGGAGCAGCTGCGCTTCAAGCGGCCTCCGGTGTCCTGCCCCCGGCACACGCGGAGCAGGGCTGCCCTGGGCTGGCCAGGCCCTCGCGAAGGCCACACTGGCACGCAGCAGCTGGCCAGGCACCCGGCCGGCGGGCGTCCATGGCAAAGAGCAGGCAGCCTGAGGGATTGCTGGCCTCGCGCCAGCTCAGACCACGGGCAGCCGCTCTCCCTCGGCACCGGCCGCTTTTCTCGGGGCTCCAGAGAGGGGTCTCCTCCAGGCAGGGCCGGATTTATGTATTGGCTAAGTAGGCTGAAGCCTAGGGCCTCTAGCTCTAGGGGGCCTCGCCAGCCTGCCCTCTCCCCAGCGCCACACAGTATTCCCTCTTCCAAAATTGCAAACCAAAGACTTCATGAGAAGGCAGGGCAACTCGGGCCTCTAGCTCTAGGGGGCCTCGCCAGCCTGCCCTCTCCCCAGCACTGCAGTCTCCCCTCTCCCAAAATTGCAAACCCAAGACTTCATGCGAGGGCATTTCTCCCCCATTTCAATGACATTTTGCTTCAAAGGGAAAGGCGGACTTGGACATCATCTTCCTCCATAATC